AACTAATAAAAATAAGGAGGAAACAAGGATAATAAAGAAAATAATGTGAAAAACAATTTCAAACCTCATCACTCTGGATAGTAAGCTAATATTACCAGGGTAGGTTTAAGGTGTGAACAAATTGTTTTAGAATACACGAAAGCGGTTTGAATTTTCGTACGGCTAAGGCTTCAATAAACCTTAGCATGTGCCCTAAAGCACTTGCCCAAGTTGGCTTCGCAAAAGTGGAACATTTGATTGAACCATCTCGTCTACTTATAAATGTATCTGAGAAGGGAAGCTTGCTCTTTTCTCATAAAAGACTGATGTGGTTTTGGAGTGTCAAGTCTACATAATAAACAACTCATATCGTCCTTTCACAGATAACTAAGATACCATCCTCATATCTCTTATAAAGAGAAATGTTTTCGACTAAGTCTTCAACTAGATTCTCAAACTTGTGTCATGAACACACCTGCTTATAATGGTCCTAAAATATTATTCATAGCAACCCTGTTGATCTGGCGAAAGAATTCACCTTTAAATATGAACTGGACTTTGTCAGTACATAGTAGTAATTTAAGGTTGTTCAAAGATAATTAGCCATATAATATGCCAATAGTCTTTTTCAAAGGTACATTTTTGTGAACAGGGAATTGACGTCAAATAAACACACTGTTTTCCTCTTGATACCAATATCAAATAAATAACCGATCAATTCAAAAGAATCCTTCAGACAATACTTACATAGACGTCTTCGGATAGGATCCAACAATTTAGTTAGGTTTTGTGTAGGTGATCGACACATTGATAGAATTAGGCGTAAAGGAATGTTTGATTTGTGAATTTTAGGTAATCCATGTAAATAAGGATACCCAGAACCCATTTGTTTTAGAAAATTAAATTCTTTATCAGTAATATTCATGTGCAGCAGTTTCACTGGGTTTGAATTTATTCTTCCCTCTAGTTTGCTAATACCTCCATTTCGTGTCTAGTTGACTCTTTATTTTTATATACAAAGGTGTCAAAGTCATTGTAGATAATTGAAAGTGAGGTTTACGTGACCAGGTAACAACCCAGCATAGCTTATTTTCGTTGATATCTGTCAACATTTTACTTAAAATGTGGGTTTGGGTCATGACTGCAGGTTCGAAATCACATCACTTAAGTTTCCAAACCATAGAATATTATTATCTTATAAACCCTAAGTAAGAAACTGTCCCTGTCAGCATAGTTCAGAGCGTTAGTCATCAGCTTCACAGACTTGTCATGTTTTAGCCTCATCTCCCTTAGCCCTTTACTGTCCGTGTTCACTAAACAGGGTGTATGGGATCTAAATATATCAAGAAGAAGGTCAGGTGTTGCTTCTGAGAACATGCCTTCAAGAAATTGACGATAGATATGTGCTCTAGGATACAGTATATGACAGAATATTAAAGTTCGAAATTATGGTCAAGTTAAGAACTAAATGCTAAGCTACTAAGAAATATCTATCAGGAAGACGTCGTGTAATGGCACTCTCCAGTTCTACTAACATGTTTTTTTTGTAAGGATTTTAAAATGTGTTATTGAACATCATCTAGTTCATATATTGATCGAAATCTAAATACGTGCTTCTAGTGTCATCTAACAAAATAAAAGAAACATTTGTGGTATTGGAGGTACATAACATGTTTGAGCAGGTAGGCTATATGTTGTAAAATTATTACTCAAAATACACTTTATCGTTATTCACTCTTTTATAAACTACCAAGACTTTAATCAGGATTCAATGTAATTTGCAAATGAAAATTACTGGTTTGGCGGTTTTCGCTACAAAACACATTAGGGGACACTAATTACCGCAGAGTTTCGTATGCGATCCCAAATGCATGGGAATACAAATGTGACGTAGCAGAAATACTGAAATAACAATGATGTGCGTAATTTTCTGGCATCACGCTCTGTGCTCATAACAAATGTAAGGTATTGTGACATGAGGCATACAGTTATCAATGGGTATCCGTTCCCGTTGATAACTTACGTTGTTATGCATCCAGTGACTTATCTGATTGTTATAAAATTAGCTTATACCCCAATCAATAGTTGCTATTATGGTAGTTCATTACCATATTTGTCATCAAGATGCGATTACATAAACGATTTGTTTTTGGCAAGCACCAACATTACAAATATCACTTTAAATAGATCATATTGCTGTCACCTATCGTTGAAAATTGCTGCACATGCTTGTCTCTGTCTGTGAGAATACGTGTTCGTGCGAGCCATATTAAACCCATGAAAAAAACGAGACCTTTGATCTTAATTCGAAGATCAAAAGTACGCATTATCTAAGTATTTGGTTGGCCACGTTCATTATTATGTAGATTGCTCTATAGAAGCAACCCTACAAGCCTATGCTAAATTTGTGGATGCTCAGAAATCTATTCCAATGAGCTTTAACAACAAGAAGGACAGGCGTAAAAATGAACTAAGTCCAGGTAATAATCGATAGCGAAGTTTATTGGAAGGCATGGTTGACATCTGATAAATGTTCAGCCTGGTCAATGATACTAAAATTAAAGGATAATAGTTGTTTTCGTAGTAAGGCTGGCTAAGATACCAGCTCAGTCTGACAGATGAAGACAATTTTGTAATGCTGGGTACGACCACTCAGCACCCCTGTTTTCGTAAAAGACTGTAATAACCGTATAGAAATAAATCTGACCAATATTCTATTTAAAATATTAGCATTCATAACCCGACACCTCATTAGTGCTAGTAAGCATACAAACTGGGGATGCCAAGCAGGTGTAAGACCTAAGGATGGATTTGTAAAAAGGATATCCATCTTTCTTTCGAAGTGTATATATACTTCATGATGCACTACAGTTAACTTATTCCTCGAACTGTTGGTTGCAACTGCCTTAGCTAGTCGGTAGGACTGGTGGCAGTGTTTATAGTTCAATGTGTACCGAAGCATATAAACCTTAGGAAGCCCCTCCACCAAGTAATCATTGATCGGATTGGATCTTTTTGGCGAGCTGTCGTGTGAACTGGCAACCTACAGTGACACTCTTTAAAGCTACCCCCTAGCTAAATTTTCACATAGTTTTGTCACATATATTCCTAGAAATAATGCTTCCTAACTTCTCAGTGATTGATCTCATACCAAGAGATTCACTCATCGACTTGGACTCAGATGAAATAAATATATTTAATAAGAACAATAACAAAACCAAGCATTCTAAACAACTTATGAATGTAAAGGACATGTGTAAGTTTCAAGCATTTTATTGGCGTATTCAAAGCAATGTAAACTTGATGCTATGGATTTTTATCGGCTAACGTAGTAGATAAATGTTACTGTTAACTAAGGATATTCTGTCTCGGCGTGTATTGTTGGCTGACGCAAGAAAAGGGTGGAAAAAAAACTAGAAGTGGAGGAACTAATGTGTGACACCTGTCTATGAAGTCATTTGAGCAATACCGCAAGGTGAAGATTGCCTGGTTGCAACAGTTACTTATTCGATACATCCTCTCAAATGTTGAGTTAAGTACCAATCTTAGTTTATTACAGGCTCAGAGTTTTGTCAGCTAAGAAAATTTAAATCCAGTTAGTATAGCTGAGTGAATATCCTAACTATGAATAAGTTCGCATAATCTTATGTACCTCAAATAGAAAAGTATTATATAGAGTAACATTGCCATAGAGGAAAGTACGCGATAGATTGTCAAGATGGGATGTAAAGTGGTTATTGCTCAAGAATGCAAGAATATTGATGAGAACTCCTAAATGAACTGGTGTCAAAAGAAAAAAAAACTTGCAACTAAACCAAGTATAAAATGTAATATATTCAGGCGTAAAAGTGGACATGTGAAATAGTCTTGTCTGTGAACGCAAGCAAGATGGTATAGAATGTAATGGTATATTTAGGTCTAATTTCTTTGTTATTGCTTTAAATTAACAATAGTATCATGGAATACTCATCCAATCCATAAAAACGGATATAAGTTACATTTGCTTCAGCATAAAATATTGTAGCTCTGCGTGATAATTCTAGGCGTTTGGACTCCCTTAGATTCAAAGAATCGGAATGTTTAAATCTTGTCTTGATTATAACTTGAAAGAATCTTCTTGGTTTAAAGCTCAGATGTCCCAGTAATACTGTAATGAACAGAACACTGGTTGGGGACAATCGAATGTATTTAAGCAAAGATTACAGACTATCTCAGTAAATTCTGAAAACCATACAATGTACAGTCAATTTGCAAATTAACAACCAATAGTCTCGATCTTCACTGTTTCTTATCTAATTCCATTGTTCGTGCATTTTCCTACCGATTGCGCTTCGTTTCAGTTCTTTCGTCATCGGTCTTCTGCGAAAATACATTCTATGTCTGACCCACACCATATACTACTTATATGGATATAAGTAGATCACACCACAATACCACAAACATAACACATGGAGTTTTTTATTCAATAATTTGGCCGTCCGACTTTTGGTTGGTAAGTTACAGATCTACATTCTGTTAAACGCAATTTGAACAATTCTCCTAACAAACGAAACACAGTACGAAGTTTCTAGGCCAATAATTCTGATTGGTATAACTTAGTATTTATTTATTTGAACACAAATATTGATACAACGGGGCACCAGATATATTTGCGCCACATAAAAAATTGTCATTTCATTTAATTGTGTGAGGACTATGATAATGCCCGGGTGCCCAGATTGAAACAGGAAATGCAGACCCACGATAGCCGGTGACCAATGATTGGTTCATACGCTATTTGTTCCCTCAGGATACTGGAACCCATGTGCACCATTGGTTTGGAATCAGGGTTTTCCAACTCTCCTAGGTGAATTATCCGTAACCACTAAACCGGTTACAGCGCCGGAGTTTCGCTTTTCGTCCTCTTAATTTTGTAAACAACATCCCTGGTGTGAGAAGGCAGTAAGTAGGAATTCCCTGACAGAGACTGTATAATATAGATGTGTGAGAGCATTTCGAGAGAGAGGGTGAGCCCTCTCCACTCTCGGCTGTACCAGGGCATTTAGGTGTTATCATTTAGGACTTCTTTAAAATTTTTGGTTAAATAGTCTCAAAACATACAGTGAATGTTTGCATGCTAATTTTTATAATCCGATACAGTTTGCGAATTTCTTCTGAATTATTTTTTACTTAGGAATAGGGATTTCATCGCTACTCAGGGTTTCAAACTCTTCCTTCATGTGATTCTTACTTTTCTTTTTAAAAAGAGGATGACATTACAGTTAGTGCCAGAGTAGAATTTTTACTTAAAAAATTTTGTCAGTGTATTACGTGTCAAAGAAACAAGTAAGTACATAAATCACACTTCTATTATTAAGACGAATTGCACACACTGTGTCGTAATAATTCTTAATCGTGATTGCAATAAAATTCATCAATATTCGAAAACAAACTGAATAAATAAAAAAAACATATTAAGAAAGAAAATATGCACAAAAGCCAAATCCCTATGCAAACAATTCTTCAAAATTGTCAATTTAGAAAGGGATATGTAATAACGACAAGATGGCTTTCAGGAGTAATCATAGTTAACTTTTTATTGAGCACTGAGGTGTTAATGCTTTGTTATTTTAGCATGAAGAGAAACTTGTTCAGCCTAGGCGATCAAATTTACTGAGCGAGATAGGTGTGACCAATAGACACTGAGCAGGCAATACAAACCACTAGTAGCCATTACAACAAAAATGAGTATTTGCCAGTGTAATAGTAGGTAAGTGCTATAGACAAAAGCGATTCCCGATACGATAGACTAAAAAACAAAAGCATAAAATAAAAAGCAATATATATATATATAGGTTTTGCATGAGTAAGAAGAAAAACTGTACAGATCCTATATTACCTCCAGATTGTCAGAAGGGGTTGATTCTTGTTTTCATTAGAGTTTGATCATCAGTAATTAACGAATAAGCTATTAATGACTGTTATGAATCAACAACAACTGTTGAGAACTGATCATTTTAACTTAGTAGGCCGCTATCGCTAATGAGTAAACCTAACTAACAAATTCTCAGTGTGACTAAATGTTCATGCCACCTACTATTTAGAGGAAGCATTAAGCAGTAGTTTACAGGATGTGCGTGGTTAGAATTTCACGTGTTACTGAAGTTAGAAATAATTAAAGTTTACAGTACTCTAATAAAGTCGAGTGTGATTTGCATAGTGCACGCATTGAAGAATTACACTATAGGTTGACCTCTAGCGAAGTAACTTGCATTTTTGGTGCTAGAATGTTTAGAGTATGCTGACTGATCCATTTTCGAACAACTAGCACTGACAGGAGAATTCAATAGGCAGCTCTTATGTAGACATGTTTTCTGGAATACACCTAGTTCCCAAGTTATCCTAGTTTGCATCGAATCAGGTTAAACATAATAGTGAACGGGTATTGCCAAGGAAAAACAATACGGTGTGAAGGTTATACGACAAAATACATAGACAACCATGCACCACTTACATCGCTAACCAAATTACAGGTATACTACCCTACAATAAGTGTTTTATTCGAAGAAAATTGAATTATGGGTAACTATTTGTGGACTGTTATTATGTATACATTTATCTTATTGTATAACTATTAAGCGACTAGATTATATACATATTTATGTTTCTCTTATTATAAACTTTTATTTGATTTATTGGCCACTATTGTACGACTTATATTCCCAATATATTAGCTACAGTTTCTAACACTCACAGTCACTTTTGGCTTGATCTTGGATAGCTACTTTTTATTTTATGGTATGATACGATAGGGTTTATTTGTGTATAAACTACGTATGTTTGAAACTTATTATTCATACAGTGGAGGCTGAGATAGCGTTCTAGGCTCAATGGGCAAGGCTGGGTGAGAGGGACTAATGAGGATTCAAAGTTGACGCAAGACTGTTAGTGCTGGTTGACGTGCCATTAATTTAGCACAAGAACAAGGTCATATAAGTTAGTATCTTGATAGGCGATTTTATTAAGTGATAATTGACAGGAGCAAAATTTATACGAATAAGGAATAATTTATAGCCTTAATAGTTAGACAAAAGTATGTACATATATACTTACTTGAACAGATTTAAATAAAGCAAACCCAACTGTAACATCCCTTCCATGCTCACCATAAATGAAACCAATTAAGGCAGAAATTTGTGTGTTCCACACGGAATCCACACCACCAAACAAAAATGCTATGAACATAGCCAAATAGACACTAATAAAAAGATATAAACAAGTTGACTATTTATATGTCGAAATTCAACTGGACTATGTTAAAAGCAAGATATGCACCGAATATATAACAAGACGTCATCACCTGATTCTATGTTTCATTATGATTAACTGCACGTTGTAGAATATACGAACTACTCATTAACGATTTACTATATGGAAAATAGTCCCACCACAAATACTAGACAGAGATCCAATACTACAATCTGAATTTTACTGTGACAGCCTGAAATAGCTGATTCATTATGTCATCGTCTTATTCCAAGTAGAATAAAAGAGATCTGAATTACAAAATCAATTAGGAAAGCGATAGAACTCAAAAAGTAAAAGGATTGACCTAATGGTAGAAGAAAATTATGGTTAGGAGAAATGGATGAAATCAGAAAATGAAATATGGAGTAGTGTTATTTTTCAAAATTTAGAAAAATTTTACGAATAAATGGAATCTACACTATGTCACTATGGTTCTGTACGACTCAACCAAGAAACTTGTATCTTTGGTCTAGCAGTTAGTGATTTGAAAAAATGATGTATAATCAAGTAATACTTACACTAAGAGACATAAAACACTAAGATAGAAGTTGAGCACGTAAAATACATTCGATATAGCCTCGAAACACCAACTGATAAGTGAACTTTTGTATTCAATACGTAATTTCCATTATATAGCATCATCACAAGCAAACATTATTCTGAAGAAATCGGTAATTGATTACTTGTAACCTGGACAGCTTGCTAACTTTCAGTAATCACATTTCTTAATTGTCAGGTGTTATAGAGGAAAATACTGCACACTATGTTACACGTCTAATGAACAGAGAGATATTTTACTCGTGCGATGGGTGGGTTTTCACTTGTGCTAATGATTCTTTAACTGCCAGCTTACTACCACACGGGCCATGCAGTCTGGACGTCACATTTTTGCGTTTAAGGGTATAAAATAAATTCAAAACAACTTTGCAGTCTCACTCATGGTATTCACAGCGCTGTGCACCTTGGTTTCCAAAAACAGGATAATATCGTTTAGATACTCTAACGAAATCGCCAGCTAAGAAAGCGATTGGTGGGAGTTCAGGTGAAGAATGAAGACCATCAAATAAATTAAAATAAATGAGTAAAGCAGATAGCTATACTATTTGATTGAGTAAATCAAAGTAGATGTGTTGGGACTCAAACATGACAACACCGGTACGGTGTACGGTCTAGACAAGAATTCAAGTAGTGGTTTAATTCAAGCCAATAAAAAATGATAACATTAGCAGAAGACGATGAGTTTATTGTGCTTTGACATTCCTTGGCAATATAAAAGCTAGTACATTTAGTTAGTTTAAAATATTAACATACTTGTAAGTTAAAGAAAGAGTTGTTCATTATAAACCAATAGATTATTAAGAGGCCGAAATCGTTATGTAATTAAAACGAATGAGTTTGAAGGATGTTTCTGAAATAGTTCGAACGATAGTTGAGGACTACTGGAGGTAATTTTACTAAGTCAAATGACAAAGGATTTCTAAGAGCGCTGAACCGTAACCATAGCAAAAATCATTAAATCGTTCATTTATGCTACTAGGATAGTAGCAAGTCAACCACTGACTCTTTATAAGTACAAAGGTCAAGTTTTAGTCCACAAATTGCCAGGGCTTTCAAGAAGGTTAGTAAGATAAAATCATATTGCTCGCTTCCTGTTCCACGTCCATTTAAATAGAATGCAATCGAATTATGAATACTGCTTTGGCTCATAAGACACATATCCTTTGGAATATACTCAACAGGGGATGTAGATGATTTTCACACTGTCCATTTTATAATTAGCTTCTGGTGGTAAGAATTTTGAGTGGAGAAATAATCTTAGTGTCACGATGACGTCAAAATCAAAGATACTGCGATGAAAAGATATTTTCTCAATGCTACAAACAGATATTAATGAGCTCCAATAAGTGGCCTGTTCCTGTCATCTAGATATTTCAACAAGTTATCTAATTTTGTTTGTTTTAATACATCATTATGGATATTAATTGCACGACTTATTCAGGTGCGTTTCAGAAAAGTGTACAACCTTTCACTGTAAAGGTTACAGAAGGCCTAATCAGAGATATTGTGGTTGCTGGCATTATGCTGCGAGAAGAATGTACATTGTTCAGATGTCGATTGACTGGGCTGTTAACTTCTAACTGGCGATCACTCAATATTTATCGTCAGGAAGGACGAAGAAGTAAGAAACGGGAACATGTTGAAATACTTTGTGCTGAGAATTCTATATTGTACCAAAAATATAATATTGAATAAAGCTAATAATAATAAAAAATAATAAAGAAAACCGACTACTTTCTGAGGATTCCTGACAGAAACTGAAACCGAAACAATGTAGATGGCTACGTCATTTTTATTTAGCTGAACGATGAAATTGTATCAATTAATTAAAGAATTCAGTCAATTAAAATGGCAATGGTTTACATCTGGTAGTCAGTCAGTAAAGAGAATTAGCTTACAAGAGAAAAAAACTATAGTGAATGTAATTTGAACTTACTTAGGAGTAATATAAGACAGCTCATCCGTATCTTTTATAGAACTGTTTGTCGGTAACATCATGAAAGTGAAATAGCCAGCTACAATTGCACTGATATAACCAAAAATAACTAGAACTCCTTCTAAACGAATCCATCGAGTTAAACGTGAAGAGAAACTACCTACAATCAATTATATAAACAATTAGGTTTTTATTACTATTTCAAAATAGGTCCATAAAGTCATTAACTTCTGATCTGAGCCACGTTGGTATATGCAGACTACTTGGTTGGGGTCCTTGCGACCGTTGTAACTTGTGGTTGGAGCTTCTTGGTGACAAGGCTCAGAATCAATCACAATGGCATAGGTGTATACACTCTTTATCTTCCCTTAAATTGTGAGATTAAAATTATTTTCCACCAACTGATTCTTTCTTCGTGTATAATATCCTTATATACGATTCTCTCTCTCTCTCTCTCTCTATATATATATATATATATATATATATATATATATATATATATATATATCCATAATCAGGTGATTTACAATTAAGTGCATTCGATATCAAGCTCAAATTTCGCAGTGAATATAGCCCACAGATGTCCTCGTATGACTGAAGCTATGGAGAGACTGTTTTCCTCTCAGAACTCCCCCATATGGTCACTCATAGCATTTAGAGAAGTCCGACTTCCTGCCTTCACATTAGGGGCGTGTTTGCGAAAGTGGTAGCATGAGAAACAGACGTCCAGTCCTTAACCAGAGTTGGTGGATACGAAGAGTCTATCTAGCAGAGTAAGAATTTGGATTATTCATGGTTGTTATAAATAAATTATCATATGATTGAGTTACTTACATGTCATGTTCATATAATATACATTGTGACTGTGACGTGACTCAACAGAACAACTTAGTATATTCAAGATTAGCGCTACCTCGTACTTTGTTTCAACCCCATCCCTTCTCAAAATAATCAAGTCGTAGAGAATAATATATATACATATATAATGTGCTACTACCGATGATAATGTCGTGGGAAATAGATGAAGATCAAAAAAGTAATTAAATATGACGTTAAGAATCCGAGAAATTAGTGAATTTTAAAGAGCCATGTTTAAGTTTTCATAATCACTTCGACTCGAGAATTCCAGCTTCGGCTACACTCTCATAAAATAGCGTACATTTAAACAGTGTAAATACATGCTGTGCTATAATTTACAAATCTATTTCCCCTTCCCTCATAAAACAATACAGTGGAGAATAATGTTAACTATAAGGATGGCTCGTTGGTAAACTCTAGGAAGCCTCCAAGAAGCCAAGAAAGAGCCGAAGGCATTCCATCCAATCACTGCTAGGAAAATATTCTAGAATGTCGACGTGTAGCTTCCCTATTGGATGGATGAGAATGACCCTCTATGTGCTTATTGGTTGACCGAAATGATGATTTACATTCAACCAATAACTATAAATACATGAGATTTCTGTACTATATTTTGACACTGATTTGGGGAATAAACTTCCTATTTACTAGTTTTCTGTTGCGACGTTGCGGGTTCTATCGTTCAAGTAGTCTAGTAGTACGCGGCATAGTAAGAAACAAAGCTCTAGATATAACATTAACTAAGACAATGAAATCATAAGGATTGAATTATTTCAGAAGTTTACATTAAGAGTTTTTCATTAATGCTTTGCTTGTAATCAACACCAATTTTATTAAGAAATAAATGTAAGACAAATGAAATAAACTTAACAGTATAGACATATTACATAACAGTTAATCATTCACACAGGGAATAAAACCATTATCACAACAAATGAATTTTCCATTAATGCTACTAATATAATGTAGATGAAAGTTAAATGTAGATAAAAGATGTAAGACAGCATTATTAAAACCGTATACATTAATGATGAAGTTGATTTTAAACCTGATAGGTTTATTTCCAATCGAAACAAAAAAAACCGACATAAAAACTACATATAGTTTATAATTGACATGAAACAATATGGGTTTACTAAAATTGCATAGATTCTCTTCAACTATTCATAACTTTACTTTTATCGAAATGATTTATTCCATTCTAATTTTATTTGATTGATTGTTGGGCTCATTATGTTATTTTCATTAATGAAACTGTTAAAAGTTGATGTAAATGTTTTAAACTATTTTACAATTGTGATGTGAACCATTTTACACTAATTTTTTAACTGTATATAAATCATTATCCTTTACATTTAGATCACTTTTACTCTCTTTAGATTATATAATGCTATCTCTCCATTTGATCATTGTGTTGTAAGCTGTTGAAGGCCCCCAAATGCCCTGGTACCACCAAAAATGGGGAGAGTCCGCTCTCCCTCTCGGAATGCTCTCACACGGCCACGCATATACAGACTCTGCCATGGAAGTCCTACTCACTGCCTTCTGACACCAGGGGTGTTGTTTGCGAAATTGAGAGGACGAAAAGCGAAACTCCGGCGCCGTAACCGGGTTGGTGGACACGGCAAGTCCACCTAGGGGAGTTGGAAAACCCTGATTCCAAACCAATGGTGTACATGGGCTACAGTATCTTGAAGGAACAAATGGCGTATGAATCAATCGTTGACCATAGGTTACCATGGGACTGCATCTCCTTACGATGCTCCACTGCCTTGTGGATCAAATTTTTAGGCCAAAGGCTCTGGGTGTGGCCCCCCAAAGGAAACCACCTGCTTCGGTTTAGGCACCTGAGCAGTATCACATCCCTCACACAAATCTCATTTGATTTGTGTGGCGCATATGTATCTGGTGCTCCTTTGTACCAATATTTATGTGTTCAAATAAAATAAATAAATAAAGCTGTTGACGAGAATCTATAAAATATAATGAATTGATATTAATTCGGCTTTAATTACTGTTCGTATATTATTTAGATTTATAAAGACAATTACTTTATATAAAACAAAATGTGGGATAAAGACTTAGACCAATACATGATTACTTACCGACAATTTCCCCAATTCCAATAAATAGGCCAGCCAACCCGATATAAGACTTTGCATTTCTACCGAAACGTAAACAATGTCCTAACGCAGAAGCATATAGACTTGAATAGAACGTCAAATTAATACCTACAAGAATTTCAAATAATGGTAGGATAAACTGAAGATATGTTGAGGGAAATGTTAAATAAGCATCTTTAATTACTTTTTTAATGCTGATTGAAGAATATTGGCAAACATGTCAGAGGAAATATCGGTTCGTGGCTAGTTTTCAGTTGTAAAACTATCAGGTTGGAGACAGAAACGTAATGGTGTAGTAACATATGGTTTTAGAAGTTGGCATATGAAAATCTCTCAAAGACTATACTTTTACAACTATCCTATCCTTTAGCCTTGTTTTCATGCAGTAGGTGATTGAAGATTACCTATTCATTAGTGGATGTGTACCCATGATCCTGACGGATGTCGAATTCAGAATTTTCAAGTTTCACAGAGAGTGAGTCACCTTTAACTCACTGAATCAGAACCCAACACTTTATATTTTGAACTTGAGTTAATTCACTGTGTCTTCTACCATTCGAATAATTTACTCTCAACATGGTTGAAATTCATCTGTTTTTGATCCTAAAGTTCTAGAATATTTAGCTGGAACGCTACAACTGTATTATATTAAACATTTCTCAGAATTTTCATTTGATCATTAAGTTAATTCGCTGTATGATAAATCCTCTCCTGAAAACACACTTAATAATATTCTTATTGGTCAAGTGGCAAACAATAATTAATTGTTTACTTTAATTGATAAATACAAAAGCCGATACTTGAACAAGAAACTTAAGCACTTAATAAAAACATTTTACTAATGAAGCCCATCGATGTAAATTTCTTTAACTATTAACCGCACTTTACGAAACTTGATCTGACTATATAGGAGATGTTGTGGAGTCAACTTTACTGTGAATTTTATATCGTTTTTCTACTAATAATGACACCTAGTTTGATTTCAATATGGCGTTATTAGGAACTTATGAAGTTAGCAATAGGACAACATGCAAGTAGAAAAATAATTTATAAACCAACCTAAAAACCACTGGTAACCTCAGGAGATAATGATAGGCAAGTAATCACAGAGTGACTTCAGAGGAGGAAGGTTGAGCTAAGGTATTGAAGGCACATACAGTATCATAAAATAGTAATGCCTTAGCACATGCTTATACAATGACTGGTCAAGTGAGAATAGATGAGTAAAATTTATACAATTGAAATCATTAGTCTACGCAATCCTAGAAGAGCATGATATCCTACGTGAAACATCCAGATATCGGTCGGTTATACATAATGTTTGGAGAGTACCAGAACTGCAAGGGTATTCATAATCTAATTGTGTCATCGTTAAGTTTATTTATGTTAGAGACTTCGTAGAAAAGAAATAAGCGTTCAAGATATCAACCACTCTGATTTGGTAAGTAGCCAGTGTTATGGTTACCTCGGTTGTTTAGTAGCGCGTTTCGTTAACTCATAATATGTACTTTATCAGAAACCGCGAACTGTGATCGTTAGTCAGGTGATTTTCAAAATAAATCCTGATTAATACCCAAGTTACATGACTATGAAATATTAACGTGAACGATGCAATATGAGAATAACTTGGATGTTGTCTATTTCAGCACACAGTATGTTTAAACTAGATGTAGTGAAATAAGAATGTTGCTAACAATTGTCTGGTTGTCAACCAAATATTAGACGTAGCTACAGAGTGACAGGAGTTGTAGATGTACAGGTACAAAGAATCGATTAGGGAGCAAGATGGGCTTCCATAGTTTTTTTGTAGTGTCACCTAAAGAGATTTCACTCTGCGTGTTCTGACGTCATACACGTTTTGAACTGATGATTAAGTAGAATAATACAACAATGGGAACATATCCTAATGTCATTAACTTCTATTGGATACGGTAGCCTAAGTTTTGTTGGTCTATCCGAAACACTTTCTAGATTTTATTCACAAACTATTCAAGGCGCAGCAGCATCCTTATTAAAGTGGTGGCAAAAAAGTAACTGGAAAACCTTTTCAGCCTCAATTCGAAAATGAAAGTCTCAAGAAAATGTTCAAAGGAATAACTAACTGTATAGTTAGTTATCGCACAATTTATTAATATGCAATGTGAGTTGAGATAAAAACCATAAACACTGGTTAGGAGCCTGAAAAGCCGACGAATTTAAAATGAAGAAGATTACGTTATGTTACCAACAAAGAAAAATCAACGTTTACAACTTGTTAATACACCAAACATTTATAATCCTAAAAAAAACAAAATACAGCCGTAAGTTAATATCTGAAGTTATATAACACTTGTAGAATAAATTAATTTGAGTAATTCAGATATTCACAATAAATATATATGATCACAAAGTTGACTGGATAGATTGCCCTGCTCACACTATCTTTTCAAGTACCGATGATTGTTCTAAGTAGTTCCCAACATAACATAACGAATACAAGTATACACTTATCACTCACTGCTTTCTGTTTCGTAGAGTGTACGTTTGAAGCATTTCAATCCCTGAAAAATTCTTTTAAACAGAACTCGTGGAGATTATAATTTTTGATCACACATAGTCGATGATGAACATTGAATCAATATATGCATTCCAGTTCAACGACTATGTTATCTTCAAAAATCCTCAAACCAAAAGAATAAGGCTTATTTAAAGGTAGAATAATTCAGTTCCGAGATACTCAAGCGGTAATAACATTTCAAATAATTGATTTAAAAAGAAAGAGCAACTAAGAATCAGGAAATGTGAGGGAGTTGTGTTAAACATAAATATTAACAATTAGCAAAAATAGATTAAGGGTTATGTTTCAAAACACAAAAATATTATACATATTTAATGAAGAAGGAAAGTGAGATATTCAGTTATAAGTGGAAGGACGAACCAATAGATCTAAATGGGAAGACAAACATTTAGATTGGCAGAGCAATTTCCAAAGTCTAAAACGTTTTTAGCTACTTATAAAAAGTAAGTAACAGGCGGTAATGCACAAAAATATGAAGCAAGACAGAAAGGAGATTCAAAAAATTGAAAATTTAGTTAACAATTAGGATCTTAAGTTTATTTCAACTTACCAGTAAACGCTGCTGCCACAAGTATACAAATCATTGGTTTTGTAGTTAAAATTTTAACCGACCTACCTAGAGTAACATATGCATGTGTATGGTGGGAGAAAGGTGAAGAACGTAAATTTAGTGAAAGTAATGAAAATATTTCGTTATAAAAATAGATTCAAAACCCTGGTTAATACATTATGTACTAGATTTTCATGAATTTAAATTTATTACTTGAATTGGACGGGTAAAAAGAAAATTATAAACATGGAAAGCTTAACTTGAGATTCGAGAAACTAGGTGAACCATAAGCATTCTTAATTCAATGTTTTGAGACATAGTATGGAATAACTATCGTTTACTTAAGTATTGTTATTGTATATTCTGACCCATTATCAGTTGATCTGATCAGATATTTATCAATAATATAACTTACAAACTGCTATATCCTAGTGAAGATTAACGTACGGGTAACTTCCGGGATCCATTAACGGACTAATATTCTATAAATATCCTTATTGTATAACTATTCGGTGATTAGATTGTATGTATCTATATTCATCTTATTATGAGCTTCACTTTGATCAATAGATTATTATTATATGATTGACTGTTGTTAAATTATCTTCAGTTTATTGATTACAGTCGCCCACATTCACAGCCACTTTTTGGCTTGATCTTGTACAAATGTTATTTCCTATTTTATGGTGCGATGTAGTCTGTTTGTCTGGTGTAAAAACCAGGTATGCTTGAAATAAATGATTCGCATGGTTGAGGCTGTTATTGGCTATTTCACCCTTTCCACTTGTCCCCTTTTATCCCAATGACCCATTAAGAATTTCGACGTTTCTAAATTCCACTTTTTTTAATGATTGTTTGTTCTAATCACTGGTAAGTGATCCTGATAGTAATTAACAAGAATTGATTATTTCGATGAGTGGCGAATTGCTTGTTAACAGCTATTAGTTTAATTGTGTTGTTTTCTCCAGTCTAACTGTTTTCTTTGGCTGTTGCCCGGCCAATGTTGATTCTTTCGAACTCTATGAGAGCCTGGATAATACATCGGGAAATTGTACTAACATGGAGTGTTACAGTGAAAAAAATATTATTTAATTCCATTTGTCTTCATAGTATCACAGTTACAAAATAGTATTTGGAATATACTGATCTGATTATAGAATTTCGGTTGGAATAAATATAAATTCATCGTATTTCGGTTCTAATTTTTGTGAGCACTACTTTCCTTGATGTAGATAATCCCGAATATACGACAATACTACAGAAATATGAGATATTCCAATTAGTCTTATCATATATCAATTGTGCAATTAGCACCAATTTATTATATTGGAAATAAGTCTAAGACAGCGAAATTAACCAATTCATAACACTATAGGGAATTTATTGGACAGAAAATATGGGAACTATATAGGCTTGATTAAATTTATAGTAGGTGAGACACTAATATTTGTTACGGAGGTCTAACTAATCTACAACTCGTTCCATAATATGCATTACAGAAATAACTTTTTCTAGATTTTAGAACATATTAATACTGTGTTAATATCTACCGCACACATAAAAGATTGATAGTTAGTTATATAATATACCCTTGTGGGCCAGAGTAATTTTACATTGGCTTTCAGGAGAACCAGACACCATCCAGACTTTCACGTGACAACCCAAACAGTACAGTTCAATCCCGCCCCGCAAGAGAAGCACACACTATATGAGCTTTAACGCTACAATCTGAACAGCACAGCTCAATCCTGTGGCGCAACCACACAGGTACCAAGCACCCCGGTGGACCTCTCGCACCATTCATATACACATTCACATCGCATGTATAATTATTTCGATCAGTGATCGCGTAAATCAATTATGTACAGCATGAACAGGCCAAATTTGACCCATTCCGCTTACACGACAGCCAAACTCATTAATATTAGCAATGGCGACATGCCTTACAATGACAATAGCCCTTGGGAACACTGAAAAGAAACCAACAGTATGAATGAAATTGGTTAACCAGCAAACTTGCCAAAACAATGCCGAACCATCCGCAATGTAAATGGTGGACCTCCAGTCTCAAGTAAGACCTTCGGCTCTACATGACAATATAGCTTATACTGCATACAACATATATGTAGGGTAGTAAGCGAAACAGCCCAGGCTGAAGCGTCAGGGCATAAAGAACGCTTAAAACCCATTGTCTGGTGTCGGAATACTAATGCAAGACCACCAAGATTATTTTTATCGCATTTGTGAAGTTTTCATTTTTCCGACTTTTCAGACCCTGAGTTAGGGGTAGGTATCCCTAACAGATTGATAGATCAGCCCGATTTTAATAAGTTAGTATCACAAATTATTCATGCGAAAAATTCTTTTATCATTTTATAGTTGGAAAAATAGTCTTTGAAGGTTGAGGACATACGTATATTGATTGTAAGTAAACGTAAAAACTACAACGAATCCATATTAAACTTGACATCAGTTTAGTAAGAATGAATGAAAATGAGATATCACGGGGGTGTGGAAATGATAATATCTACGGTACTTAAAATCAAAAGTAGAGAATGTAATTCCAAAAGAATATATGAAACAAAAAGTTGAGAATTATCAGTATTAACATTTGAAATTAAAATGAAGATAAAAAATGGACGCGACCGTGGCACTACCACACATTTTGAAACATGTAACCGAAGGTATTAGATAATGAAAAATGATCATCGCGCAGACCTCAACTGACAGAAAGTGATTTCAAAACTCGAACATTCAGGCTAAGAAATTACCTCTTAGTTTATTACACTTTCGGATTAATAATTTTGTACGAAAAAAAAACGATTTAACTATTGAATCATATTCAAACAGAATAAAACTTACGTAAAGAGTGTAAAGTCGATTGAAAAACTGTCGAACGATTTTGTATTCTATGAATGAGGAAATATTTAGAAATATGAACTTTTAACATTTTAATTAATTTCAGAGTGAAAAAAAGCGGTAATGATAATGAAAATTTAGTAAATACATTTAACAAGACTGTGTGTAGCTGAGTATTGAAAATTCGTAAGATGAAAAATAAATTCATTTTACTCCGTGGATTCATGAAATAAAAAATAAAAACTGACCACATTTGTCAAACTTTGACCATCTGATGATAATTTTATCAACGTGTGGAAGTATAACATTGTGTTCAATGCACAGATATAACTTGATATCACAATTAGTTAAATCATGATGATAATTAATAGTAACGGGTTTCTCTAATGAAATAAAAATATGATTAAAAAGTGAGTTTCAATAATACTAAAGCTCGTCCACTGTAATTTACTACCAAATTTGCAATATATTTTACTATGGCATCAAGAGTAATAATGTAACCCGACACTAGGAACTGAAGTATGAAAAACTAGGTGAACACATCGGTTTATTTAACCAACTACATATGAGAATATGAGGTTTATTAAATGTAGACTAACAACCTCATCAAACGAACCATGTACCAGCCATCACGGTTTTCACTCATAGTGTAACAAATAGATAAAGAGGAAATAGTTAATGAATTAAAAAGTGACGGCGGAATAACGAAGATCTAAATTTCAAAATACAAAATATAGTGTAATGACAGTTTATGATTTATGGAATTTAGGAGGTTTAAGAGGATTAGTATATGATCTTGACTACTGACTTTTTAAAAGTCTTCTGGATATTTTCTATTGACATCTGTTGACGATAAATTCAAAAACGTCGTCGAGGATTAATTAACGAGAAATTTGATTTAAAACGTTTTCTTCACTAAATAATCCTGATTTAGTGGTTTTTTACTTTATACTAGCAAAACTTATGAGAATTTAACGTACTCAGAGTTAGACTATACTTTAAGATTAATCGGTTATTTAATTCAGAAAGAAAGACTGGCATAATATTTTCTATTACCGTATTTGTTATGTTTAGAAAAATCAAGAGGATGAGTGGTAGATGGCTTCAAGGACGAAGACTTAGGTTTAGACTCTGTATTACTAACTGATTTTCAATTACAATGATCCATTGTAAGGAACAAGTAGCAATCTAAATAGGTGAGAGGTTGCGTCTCAGAATACATTATCCACTGACGGTTTCTCGACTAATTTTCTGATCGCAGATGAAGTGCATCGACCTTGACAACCCCCTTGAGGATCATTTTCCATTTCAAGGGGCGAAATCGACTACGATAAGTCATAAAGATGGGTTTAATGGTTATTCCACCGATTCAAAAACTATTAAAGATAAAACGGACTGTTATTGTACACCTTGAAAATAGTCTCTCAAGAATGTCTTCGGAAGTTACAAAACCAATATGTTTTTCTAATATTTGTTGAGATATGAATTCAATTTTCGTAATTAAGTGGTACATTAGTGAAGGAAGGATTATCCACAAATATTACAAGTTTCCTGCTTATATTGATATTACTAACATTGGGAAAACTGTTGAAAACATCAAAAAGCACCTCTTTTATTATTAATGACTCATAAATTGCCTTCATTGGTTTAATATTTTTCATAAATGGATGTACACATTACTATGTATTAGAGGAAATGCTGATGGCAATTTAACAAAAAACAATATTATTTAGATTTGTTATTTTATTGTACATGTGATTTCTCAATATTTGAAAATAAATGAGGTATGTAAAAAAAATCCACTCACGTTGGGTAATCTGGAGTTAACTGACTTAAGTTATCATCAGAGGAATTTATCTCCACATTAATTAACTGTTGATGTGAAATGTCTGTTTTATGAGGCTTTCTCAGCGTGAATAACAATAAAATTCCCAAAACAGCACATCCTAACAAACCACCATAAAGCTGAATACGCAATGTGGGAGATATTTCATCTATATTCGATAGTGATAGGTAAGCGTATAAACCGCCAACTATTTGACTGAATTTTTTCAAAAAAAAATGTATACGTTAGAAATATATGCATGAAGTAAGATTTTATTTGTAAACAAACAACAGAACAAAATAATCAATCAAGTATGTTTGTGAACTGGGTAATTTTAATCTCAATTAAAATGAACTGGAGAATCACTGAGAAATAAAGTGTATAGATCAACCGTTGTACGTTATTGAAATTTAGTAATACCTAAACAGAACTCATTGATTCAAAGTCATGGGTTACGTTCTATCAAGAGCACGATAACGGTGATGACTAGTGGTTGACGTTAATCATATTTGAGACTCTTCAACTAGGTATACTTACTGTAGCGGACTAATGTTTCCACTGATACACCTCTCGCTTCATATTTCAGAGCATTGTCAAATATAAAGTAGAACTAGGCCTTATCGGACGGGTACCAGTTTTGATTAAAAATGTTGATATTTTAGGGGTTTAGTTAGCCAGTCTCCAAAACATTTCAACAAGGAGTTGGTGAGTTTGATTTAGCAAATGCAAATACTTTGTATGATTGACACAGAATATATTGTTCATACAACTTAACGTTTAATAGCAAGTTTTATCCATAATATTGAGAGAACGATCCATGAGAAGGCTCTGTATAAAGATATTTTAGGCAGACTGAGGGAACACCTCTTACGACTATTTCATTCCAGTAGTGGGGTCACGTAGAGTTGCTCAATCTCCATTTCTCTTTCCCATCGATGAAATTTTGGAGACAGCTCTGATGGAAGCAGCTAGTGGTGTGAAACTTTTACCTGGAGGACTTTTGGCCTTAAGTATTTGAACGATATTGTTTTACCATGAAATCATACTCAAGCCATGCAGTCCACAATTAATCAGTTGGTAATGAATGATCGTGGCGATAATGAATTTAGTGTCGCCATCTTGGGACACCGGATTCGATGGCTTGAACATGTACTACAAATGTCACGCCAGCGAATTCTACATTACCTATTATTTGCCGAAACTGGGACTGGCTGGAAAAGGCGGGGAATCGGATGATTTACAAGGTACCGGCTTATGAAAGAAAGCTGCGTATTCAGACGGTGAAAGATATTTTCTAGGAAGTAAGTGGCAAACTTATTAAGAGAACTATATAACCAAGTAGATGATTGGCTATTAAGCGTATCACCTACCTGTTGAATTCGAAATGGACAGAGTACCGTTCAAGCACGGAACTAAATGACTGAAAGCCAAGTGCTGAATGTATAAGTAAGTTTGCCACAACACGTTTAAGTTGACAAGAGAGAATTTCGTAGGAAATCACAGACACAATAATAACATGACTTTAGGATTCGTTTATCTTGCGAAAATGGAATAACGACAAAAATGCATAAAATCGCTTACTTAGCTTGAAATAATCCCCAGAACAGGCTGAAGTGTTGATTTAAATTAGATTTGGTAGAACAATCGGTGATGAATGCACCTTGAGCAGTCCATAACACTAAACAGAGGAATCAAGCAGACCATTTAATAGATAATTCCAACTCAAAAGTGTACCTGCTGCACCGATTCCATTTACAAACGATGCCAAATACAAGCTCCACTCAAATGGTTCAATATATGAAGCAATGTATACACTGAAAGAAAATGACATCATCATTTAAAACCTACGCATAACAAAATGAACCAGCGATCATAGAATATTTTTCTCCTAGATACATTACAACAATTGGTGCAAACCAGTTGAACAAGCCAAATGAGATATACACAATTGCTAAGCTGTAACAATACTCATACATAAAATGGCATTTACCTAGTGTAACCTGTGCCATCAAAACTGTTGTTACGCTGTTTTGAAACGGCTTCTAAAACATTTTGCTGTGAAAAAGATGCAATTAAGCTACACGCACTGGAAAACAACTTACTGCAGTTAAGGATGCTGTTTGAAATGCAGCGAAAAGAAAGAAAAACGCTAACCCAGTAATAGTTACATTGTAAATATTCAAATTAATGTTCATGATAATAGAAATTAAGGTTCATTAGAGTTGTGTGGCGATAAGTCAGAGAAAAAATTTTCCTGCAAAACAAAATTGAAAATAATAATCAATTTGCTGTATAAATAGCTCTGTGATGACTATGAATATGCTGTGGATCATATTGATACATAGGCAAAAATAAGATGTGAATCACAAAATTACTTTCTAACGAAAATTTGCGAGTAGGTTGTGATCAATCTTAAGGACCTAAAACATGGATTTCATGTAAACGGTCATAATAACAAGCTTATACTAATCCAATCCATTAAGTAGCAAGATGCTTGCTTATATGCCATGGATTTTGACGGAATCCTCGAGCGCACGCGTATTGAATAGCTTAAAATCGAAAGTAGCTAACTCGTGAGAATTTTTTCCTCATCAGGTCAACTACGCGAGGCAAAAGCAATGAACACGAAACTCTTGGGTCATAATGAGACCATTTAGAAGAGAATTTTCAGCGTGGCTTACCTAAACAGAGTCACATATAATCATATGTTGTAGCATAGGGAGACACGTTGAATTTAGGTGTATTGATTAATAACCCTGAGCATACTAATTACTCAGACATAAGTGGACCTTAAAACATCCCGAAAAACGGATTGAGGAATTATGTAATCTAAGTTGCTAAATGTTAACGGTAATGTATGGAGTGATGACCTAATGGTTGAAGCCCATGACGTTTGACCATCGGGTAACAAGTTTGAACCTTGCAATCGAATACTGTCACTAGCCGTTATATTGGGACCGTTAAAACCCAGGGTCAACTTGAGAGATGTGTACCTGGCAGATAAACTACAAAAAGGCTGGTGCCATAACCAATTTGTTAGTATCATACACTGCTTTATTCATAGTTAACCTTATGAAGTTGTAATGCCGTGATTCACTAATCGTTCACCTTGATAACTACGAATTGTTTGCTTGAAGTATAGTGTTTTGCAGGACCATTCAATGTTCCTTCTTAAACTTTTTTTATTTTTATTTAAACACATAAATATTGGTGCAAAAAAGCACCAGATACATATGCGCCTCACAAATCTCATTTGGTTTGTGTGAGGGCTGTGATACTGCTCAGGTGCCCAGACTGAAGCAGGTGGTTTTCTTAGGGGGCCACACTCCGAGCCTTTGACCTGATGGTCTAGTCCACAAGGCAGTGGAGCATCGTAAGGAGATGCAGTCCCATGGTAGCCGGTGACCAACAATAGATTCATACGCCATTCGTTCCATCAGGACCCTGGAGCCCATGTACACCATTGGTTTGGAATCAGGGTTTTCCAACTCCCCTAGGTGGACTCGCCATGTCCACCCACCCGGTTAAAGCGCCGGACATTCGCTTTTCGTCCTGTCAATTTCGTAGAAAACAGTGATGCCACGAGAAGGCAGTGAGTAGGTCTTCCCTGGCAGAGGCTATATATTCGCGTGGCCATGAGAGAACATTTCGAGAGGGATAGCGGACTCTCCCCACTCTCGGCCGTACCTGGGCATTTGGGGCTATTAAGACCACTTCTAACCCAATTTCCTTTTCAGGTACCTCTAGAGGAACCCTTCCACGGTGTGGGCAACCGGGAAATGATAACTGCCCTCATACCTCTAACAGCAAGCGTAAACTAGAACTATGTATATAAACTTCAGAGTTATGTATGTTTAAAAAGATTTCCCAGGGTCAGTTTTCCGTCAAGCGGTGTCTGACTATCCTGTTAAACGGGATTGAGCTGTACTGTTTGGGTTTTCACGTGAAAGTCTGGATGGTGTCCGGTTCTCCTGAAAACCAATGTAAAACTACTCTGGTCCACAAGGGTAAATTATAGAATTGTGAAGTTTTCCGACAAAATATGAATGATTATTCATCGATATCCGTATCAGCTTTCAACCAAACTTTTCGGCTATATCTTGCAGCCATACCATATTAGATATTAAATGAATGAGACGTCCAGCGAGTAACTTAATTTGATCACCTGTAAATATGTGGGTGGTGAAAATTGCTTGCTACATCCTTATCAATCAACCAACGAACGAGGGATCTTGTCCGAATTGCCACTTAGTAAGTATTAGAGCACTAGCGTAAATAGTTAAACACCATGGTTTACTCTAAAGTATATTAATATATATATCGTGCCAAACGATTATACTTTTTGTCATCCGTAGCAATGCAAAACAAGGTATTGTGTGGTAAATAATCGGTCAGCGACTTCATTAACTATATTTTATAGCTGTAGGTGAACGGTTCACAAGTTAAAAAACAGAACACAACCACCAAATACACATGTAAACACTTACGTTTCAAAGACAATCAAAAGAGTGCGACGGTTATAATTCAATATCTAATATCTTTGAGATGAAGAGGTGTAAAGCAGTTGATTTCTTTAAACACCTTCCTTGATATTAAGACATGGTTTCAATTCAGTGATATAATTCAATTGGAGAGGTGTGGTCACTCAGTTTCAGTAACACTCGTGAACTTGGTAGTTAATTGTTGGTTATCTCATTTGTCCAAAACCTATGTGACGAGCTTGCGTAATCGCATTTATTTCTTTGCACCCATTTCTCGTTGTTTTATTCTGGTCCCAGAACTTTGATAATTCTTAATGGATGGTAGTCCAGCCGCTCAACTGAGTGTAACGTATTCGTGTTATTTCTGATTGTTGTCGATCGCCTTCTTTATGTAATGTAAACACACTCCCATATTGTTCCCAAGTCGTTGGCTTACTTTTTCCTTGGTTCTTTTCTCTTTCGAACAGCTTAAATATTTCTCCTCTTACTGTTCAGACATACAAGGCACCTTCAGGCTACGCTCAAATCTACTATTTGCTGAGCATTAAATGTACTAAATTTGGTCATTTTGGTTGCTATTTTTGCGTTCGTATACCCGGTAGTCTGAGTGAGTGGCTTTGTTTCAGGTAGTAGAGTAACTGGAATCCCTAGATACCACATTCTCAGGTAGGGGTTTGGTCGGTTGCAGTGCAGAAAATAATAAGGAAAAAATCAGAATGCTAAGAGAAGACAGTTTTTCAAGAAGTAAACAATTAAATAAATAGTTTAATTAGTAATCCAGACTATGTGAGAAGTATAAAGTGTAGGAATGAAAATGGAAACAGAGATAATTATGAGCACGGTAAGAATAATTTAATGATACTTGATACTGATAGTGATCGGTAATTTACGAAAATGCATCCGGTACAAGTAGTCCAAACAAGAAATGGTTATCCATGGGTGAGTATGTGTTCTTCAAGTCTCCTTCTAAAGCGATCCGCTGAGGTGTTTGAGGACACTTCCGTTAAGAGAACATGTAACAACTTGGATTGATTGTTTAGGAGTTGGTGGAAAACATCTGAATAATGTCAAACATTATAGCTTAAGTCTTCATTTATTTCCTTGTTTTCTGTAGGCATGATATTCCCCATTGTTTAATATTAAATGTTAAAAACTACGTATGTGTAGATCACCGACGTAGATGATCGTCTGTATCGAATAATTTGGGGCCTACTTAGGTTAGAGGGGAATAAATATGATCAATCAACTACACCTGACGATCAATACATAACTTGGATTGCCCTTTTGTCGTATCTAGGCACTATGGCTGCCGTGATGATCATACAACACAAACGATATTACTACAGAAATATAATAGTAAGAGTAGGTACAAGGGACGGGGTACAACCACAACCGCTAGGGCTAGTCCGTGGAGTTGGCTTCATTCGACCTTGAAAAGGATCGGTGAACAATTTGATATTTAGTGAGCCGACTGCCTGGTGATTTGGCTAGGGCCCAGTGACATTTCACCGGCCCAACACATGTCAGAAAAAGGCAACCCCGTACTCCAACTGTTCTGTTCCACGATCTGAATAAAGACCTATTCGACCACTAGTCTGGTTTCTTCTATAGATAAAACAGCAGTTATCTGTCGGCACGAAAAATATTCAGAATCAGAGGAACCCTTGATTAGAAAAAGTGAGGGTGTACGTGCATGTTTGCTCTTCGATGGGCAGTTTAGCTTAGATTGCTTTTGGGAGTGTAATGGTGAGTTTCTGCCGGAATGTTCGTAGCAAAGTGACTTTTTATACTTGATATACTGTGTATCATCTTAACATCACTTCTTACTCCTGTAGCCCAGAGAGAATAATCCTAAGTGTCGGGATCTATTTTCGTCAAATTTATTCCCTAACCGAAGTGCCTACTTGATTACTCGTTTGTGCACTTGGTGTAAAAGATATGTGTTCATTTTTAAGAGAGGGAACCAATGAGGAAGTGAGCTTTTTATTGAGGCTGGGTACGCTTTAAAGAGTGTCAGAACTAGTTTTAGGATGATAGCGCCAAGTTGTCTTCGCTTAAAGAGTTGCATTCGCCTTGATTTCATCCACAGTGTAGTTTGAGCAGGTGTCCGCCGTCACTGTGGTCACTAACCCGAAATCGAACTCTAAGGATAAAATCTGGAGCGGATTTCAATAGAAATCGTAATTTCTTTGTGTCGCATAGGGCTGAATATATATAGCGTGACTTTCTGTTGGATTAAATTTTATCCCATAATATACTGATCATTCTCTGACTGTTTCTAGGCCTTTTGGATGTTCAGTTGAATTCTTCTCGTTTATTATGGACCTCCATGTCTAAGCATCTTCGGTGTATATGAGGAATTTGAGTTATAGTGAGGATTTGTTTTCACCCCATGTCAGTGTGACACTGAGAACTACAACACATTCCAGTATATATATCTTCTCCATTTGTGCATTAATTCTTCTAGGACGATGGCATACGCATTATGCAAAGTGGTTGGGCCGTTCGCCTAGAAGTAGCGGAAGCAGCACTTTGGTAACTCGACTAGTTTGCATTTGGGCGTCATCGCAGTCTTAATGTGACTGTATATGTAAGTCGTTACACCTGTTTAAAGTTTCCTGACACATTTAGATAACGTTCACTCCATTGCCCGTGGCATCAGGGAGAGGTGAGTTTCAATTGATACCAAGATTTTCAGCTTTAGCTCAGAACAAATGTTTTTAGGTTTCATTGTTCTACATGTAAGTCACTTTACGTCATTGTACAGTCACGAATAATCACCTCATGCGTGGTTTCTTTGTAACAATGCCCATTCACAAAACCATATTTGGGAGGTGATTGGCCAAATCTCACAGAACTGACCGAAGCAAGATTTTTCTCTAGTTCGACAAGTTTAGCCGAAGGTCGCTTCTTACATCATACGAAGCCTTAGGGACTTTCTTCAAGTAACCACAATCTTCACATTTGACAGCCATCAAGTAAAGGAAATTAATTACATGAATAGAGGTTCAAGTTTGATTTTTAAAAATGATTGAATCTAGAGGACTTTAATCCCGGCTTCCATGAGAATCGTGTGTCATACTGGACACCGAATGATCTATGTACCAGTTTATGCCGATAGTCCAGGGGAGTACTTAATGATGGGTTCTATATTTTATTGATGTCCAAATCTTAACAGCTGTACATATTAACTGAATCGGGATTTATAAAGAACGTTACACATAACTGAAGAGTAACTGTGGAAACTTGTCTAATTCAGATTATGACTGTTAATAGATTTTCGTGTAAACGAAAAACGATCAAAGTGTCTAGATACTTGCTTAACTACTTATGAGTAGTCAGTTTGATAGACGAAAGTTACAGGGTATTCAATAAAACAAACGTTAATTAATTATCGCTTTCCTGCATCACTAATAAAGTTAAAGGATATAGATTTGAAAAGAGAGGAAATTTCAAAAGCTTATGCGGTTATAGAATACTTTTTTTGCCTTTTTTTTCTCTAATAAATAAAATAATATTTCAACCATAGATATGTTTTGAACCTAACAAAGACAGTTGTATATTTGGGTCACACAAATATATATATGTATATGTCAGTATTTAAACATATATAGATATACAATAAACATACGTTTCTGATGAATAGTGAATAAAAACCAAAGAACTAGGGACGTTCAGTGATTAATTGTTACCTCATTTACACAGAATAAAAATATGATAGTTTACAGGGAACAAAAAAGAAAACAAAAAAATTCTGAGTAGTTCCAACCTCATAAACTAAGAAGTTAGTGAACTTGTATTAATCCATACAAAATGATAGAAAGGCTTATAATATACAAATCTGACTAGATACTTTATGGCTTCATTTGTTTATTAAAAGTATCGTGATAAAAGGTGTTATCAAAACATATTTACGTGTAAATGTGATTATTTCATGCTTTTACACACATATACACATAATGAGTGGTTGAATATTACCAAAAATTAAGGATCTTATATTTGCGCACATAAATCCATGTGCCTGGTTAAGGTATTTATCTTTTGTCTGTTTTCATCCCGTGTGACCCAAAATTTCAGACGAGTGTATCAAAACAGACTGGGATTTGAAGTGAAACCTGAAAATAAAAAATAAGCACTGTTAATAAGATTTAGTTCAAATGTCTTTTGATGTATTTGACTCATTCACTTTGATTTATTTTCCTTCAGAACTCTTCAAATTCTTTTGAACAATAATCTGTTTTAGATATCCGAAGTGGTTCCTCTTCATAATCATCGAAATTACTTGTGTCACCGGGCCCTTTACATGGCGGTAGGAATGGAGCAGATAGCTGAAAAAGTTAAAATACAAAGTTTTTAAAAAATGTGCGTTATCATCACAAAATATTTAATCATAATGATAGTTATAATGATAAGACAAATCAGGATAATTCTGTGAAATGATCACGAAGTTACAAGGTAGTTAAGGCATCAGTTTACAAAAACTAGTTGATTGTGTTTACCGAGCGCGTGTGCTCAGGTAATAGACTAAGACAGAAAATCAAATGTATTATGTCTGGTCCAGACTGTTAGACAGCTCTATGAAGAGACACTGTTATGATACTTCTTACTAATAAAGAGTTACATTCTTTATGGAGGGGTGGATTCCGCTAAACATGTTTATCTATATGACTTATCAAAATTATCCACTAGTTAATTTTAGCTTGTTTGGATATCTAACTGGGGCTAAAACGTACTGAACCATTGTGTCACAGCCTAGTGGTATTATTGAACTACATGATGCCTTGAATCTATTTTAATAAAGCTACAATTTACGATGATGTCTTATGAAGTTTTGTTTAGTGTGAGAATTATTCCTGTCATAAACTGGTTCAAGTGTAGGAACTATTGAAGACCACGTTGCTCCAGACATTTCTCTCTCTGTAATTTGAAGCCGCCTAATAATGAGCGATTATGACCCTTATTTCGGGGTTCCTTGGCAATGAGGACCCACGATACCGACAGTAGTCACACCCATCTCTTCAAGGTTTAAAGACAATTGTCTGAATTACTTATCTTCAAGTCTAATTCTATTGACAAATATTTTCAACCATGTCAGTGAAAATAACAGGCTTAAATTCTTTTTGAGGTTCGGTGTATTGTTGCTTCAAGCCTCCTGTTCCTAGCATTGTTGAGGAGTCCCATTTGATGACTAAACATCTGCCTAATTCTTTTTGGTTTGCAATAATGGTCTAGCTAAGATCAGTTCTTGGTTTAAATTATGAAAGTCCTACAGTCTCCATAACCCTGTTATACTAGCAAGAATAATCTCTATATATAAATAATGGGTCGCTAACTCCAATCTAAATCAGAAGAGACGTAATCAATAAACAGAATTAGTTATTCCAATCTACCATTATTCTAAAGCTTTCGTTGATATGAATAAAGTTAAATCACAATGAACACTCCATGAAATTAAAAGAAAAAACGTAATAGATCATCTTATTATGATACTTTGACAAAACGGGTAACCTTCTGTGATAGCTGCTTACACATCTGTCTTAACATCTTATTAAAATAATTTGTGGATTGTTTCCAAAATGTCAGAAATATAATTTGTCTTGGATTGTAGATTCGAAACATATTGTGTTCAATTCATATCCGTAGATTCAATCAAATCATTGAGATACATGGCACTATATGACAAGCAATAATCAATGTCTTATTTTAAACATTCACTAAGTTTAGATGGATAGTGGCTAGCAGTGGAATCCAGGACGCGCGTTTCGTCCTATTTGGGACTCGCCAGCTGGATGTACCTGCATCTCAGAGTTGATGTTCATCTTTGCTTATAATGCTTATGAATTAAGGCTATATCGAGGCAATACGCACAGTATGCACTTATGGCCAAGAAGAGACTGGCCAGTTGCAGTCTTAAACATCAATGGGAAGATACAAACAAACAATACCAAGTGAATTTTCACTAAGTTTAACCAAAGCTTTTAGGTTGTACCATTAACTTATGATCTAACTGATATCAATTCTTGATGTTAAACAATCTTTAATCATCTTTTAGTTCTGAACTGGTTTTTACAGACACTGTTATACATAGAGAACTATACGGGTTGTGTAGATAACCAACAAGGGCATGAAAAGTAATATTGTAGTACAAAAGCATTAGCAAGCGGAATAATAAATACATACTTCTTTTTGATAGACAGCAACCCAATTAGTTGGCCGGAACCATTTATGACATTTAATATCATCGACACCGTTTTTTAAATTACCATAACGTTTTGTTAAATCCGTTTGTAACAATTGTTTGAGAAGATTTTTCAAATCACTACTAACATGTCCGGGAAATCTTACCTAATAAAAGTTCAAAACAAAGAAATAAAGGAATAAATAATAAGTTATACATTAATTTGGGGCTCAATAGGGGTTGAATGATATAGGTTTGTCAAAGAAATGTTTATTCGTTTCTCAAGGCTAATCAATCATTCAATCAGCATACAACTAACTATTTAATAATTTAATAACTCTGCGGTATCAATACTTAGTTGTTATTTTGGAGTCTTCTGTAAACTGGTTTGTATCAGTGTTTGAATATGTTCTGTTCAAAGTATGTGTCTTCTTAAATTTTCCCAGACATAAAAATTAACTGGAAATGTAGGGACTGAATGGATTTCTGCCTAGTATAGCTGAGAATAAAGCTACTAACTAACTAAACTACTTTATATGTTTAGCTATGCTAATTCATACTCAATAACGATATCAGCCATGATCATTTTATATTTTATATTAAGCCAAGATGTAAAATGGTAATTATTAGGCATCAACTTGATGACTTGTTTGTATTATGATTACTACTAATATCTCAAAGGTTGTAGGCTTGTCTCCGCATGAATCTGAAAGTGTGCTCTTAATAAAGGAATAGAAAATAGGGAAAGTCTATACGTATTTATAACTAAAAAACAAATTCAAATGATGATCGGTCTATCTAACTGGTAAATCGTATAAGCCAACTATTTTTTCATTTTATAAAATTATAACAATAGCTGATAAACATTGATACGATAGTTTGTGAAAATATCAGAAGCGAAGATAAGATATGCAAGTGTCAGCACACAGACAAACCAAGCTATCTCAAAGCTTTTACGGATCTTGGTTATGTTCAAGATAGAGGATTGAGCCTTTGAGATAAGTGAAAGCTGAACAAAAAATTATCAAGTTTTACGTGCTTGTTTAATTACTTATTATTGTTTTTATAGTGATTGTTATTCTCGAAACTTAAATGTCACAACCTTCACAGTGTATTAAGACGATAGGAAATAAACAATGATGGCTTTTTTCTCTCTCAGGATAAACATTGTACTTTGTAGAAACAATCATGTTTACATACAGAAGCTGCATACTAATATCCTAAAACAAAAGTCACATATGTCTACGTATACCGTCATATGATGAAGTTGTGTATATCATAGTCATAAACCACACGTAAATAGCATTAAAATACGCTACGGTTGAAATCCTTGACGTAATCATTATGCATGTAAGTTAACATACAGCGTACTATGAAAAAAATTATAAACAATCTTGTTTGGAATAAATCAATGCTTAGCAGCGAATTCATATATGTTAACAGATAATTGAAAAGCATGTCACTATTCATATAGCATACTGACCGTTATGTAAATAACGTTCAAGCATTAAGAGTCCTTTATTGTATTTTCATACATTTTCGATGCGGTCTAAGCCGCTTTCTTATACACAAGTAGTTTTTTAAGGTTGTAGAGACCTATTGTTCACCCGAGTGACGACAGAAAGAATGTAATACATTATTCTGAAGTAATTTGAAAGTATTAGTGATAAACACAGTAGACTTACTTTACCAGCAACAATTTTCTCATAAATTTCTATAGGTTGATCTGCAAAAAATGGTGGATATCCACAAGCCATTTCATAGATCAAAATACCCAATGCCCACCAATCCACAGCTTTATTGTAACCCTAGAGTTTTATTTTTATCGATTTATTCATAAATAAAACAGACAAAGAGAAGAACTAGTCAAAAATTACATTATAAATCAACTTTTGAAACTACGAATTGTTTGCTTGAAGTATAGTGTTTTGCAGGACTATTCAATGTTCCTTCTTAAACTTATTTTATTTTATTTTTATTTAAATACATAAATATTGGTACAAAAAAGCATCAGATACATATGCGCCTCACAAATCTCATTTGGTTTGTATGAGGGCTGTGATACTGCTCAGGTACCCAGACTGAAGCAGGTGGTTTTCTTAGGGGGCCACACCCCGAGCCTTTGACCTGATGGTCTAGTCCACAAGGCAGTGGAGCATCGTAAAAAGATGCGGTCCTATGGTAGCCGGTGACCAACTATTGGTTCATACGCCATTTGTTCGTTCAGGATACTGGAGCCCATGTACACCATTGGTTTGGAATCAGGGTTTTCCAATTCCCCTATGTGGACTTGCCGTATCCATCAACCTGGTTAAAGTGCCTGACATTGTCTTTTCGTTTTTTCAATTTCGTAAACAACAGTGATGCTACGAGAATGCAGTGAGTAGGACTTCCCTGACAAAGGCTATATATTCGCGTGGCCATGAGAGAGCATTTCGAGAGGGATAGCGGCCGTATTTAGATGTTGAACGGTTAACACAAAAAAGTGCTCATTTAAACATGTTTTTCCTAAAATATGTGAGTATGGAATAAATAATGAACTGAATTAATTGCGATCCTACTAATCAGCATGAATTTCTGTCACTTACATGTTGCTAATAGATACTTATTTAAGTGCAAAGGTTAGCAAGGATTTCTTTCATTTTGTTGTTATTGGTTATGTTATGCTTCAGATTGTGTTTCTTGAAAAATAAACTTGAGGGATGTGCATCAAGGTTTATTACAATCTATTTTAAACATCTTTAGCCTGCGTGCATACGTGCATCCTGTGCGGATTGCTTTGATATTGCCTTAAATCCATCTGAGTCCCAAATTGAACAAAACGCGCGCGTTCTTCATTCCCCTGCTAACCAACATACATCTCTACGTATAGTGGATCTTATTGACTTTTGAGATATGTTTTATATTCATATGGCATAAAAAGCGCGTTATTGTACTAGACACCTTTGTCAAGCTATAAATTAATAACATAACAATCATTTTTTAAATGTCATAGTTAATCAACGGTTGTTTTAGTACCTGTATTCCTGGTAATATCCCTTGACTGATTAATTTAGTTATCAAGCACATATGACTACAATTCGTTAATATAATCGATGTAAACCTGTCTTGTTATATCAAACCTCATTAAGGGTGTGATGGTTCATAGTTATCACCAAAGGATTCTATTCATATCAACTTATTAAATCCCATATAACTTAAATCTGTCTCGTCAAAACATTCCAAAGCTATCATTGGATGATTGACCACATGTAAAATGACCACGCTGAAGCTCATGCTGGCAGGAATTATTATCCCTCTATTATTTCTGTAAGTACTTATTATTTTTCCGATAGAGAGGACCATATTCAGCCTCCTATTCAAATATAGGAAATAAGTTCTATAGATTTTGATGTGGTGGCATAGCTGCTTAATTCTATATTTCTCCATAAACGTTCACATATTTGATTTCAAATCAAAAGAAGGAAATAGCAAATTCAGTGCAGAACTCTAAAGGTCTAGACTTTCAGCGGAGGTTGATAAATAGGTTTTATGTTCAAAGTTGTATATAAGTATATACTTTTTTCGAACGGACCAAATCAAGCTATAGCCAGCATAATTACAAACGTTCTTAATAATTTATTGTTTGAATATATTACACTAGTGTGTACTACTTTGTTATACTTAAGGTATGAACATATCATCCTCAGTCAAGGCTAATGGGCTAACATTCATGTTATGGCATTTTAACAATACTCAAAATGAAATACAAAGTCACAGAAAATGCAATAATAGAAATATTTAATTTGTCCTATTCCTTTTCATAGTTTCACAGTATTTGTAATATACATTTCTTAAAGGTCAGATAATATGGCGGTCATTACTTTGACCATTGATCGCATTTTATAATTATAATAATCAAGAGTGTTTATGGCTATAGCTGTCATTAGTTTTCAGTACTTTGTAGAGCTAGCAGAGTATTTTCTTTTGATTGTTTAAAATTGGTTCCGACATAATTCTTAATAACATCATACTACCGAAAAGGGGTAATTGAAATTCCAGTATGTCTTATGATTAGCATCTGAAGCATTCTATTTAATTACTTTTCATTTCAAAAAATGAGACCAGAAGAAGTTTGAACAAAAGAAGAATGATAGTCGCTTTGGGATTCACTTGAAGAATCTTCAGAAATAGAATAAAAAATTATTGGTTAGCTTTTATGTAGTTTTTAAAAAATAGTAATCACGTTGGGAGCAAGTGATATTGTAGTTGAACTATAACTATCCTTTAAATAGTCTCAGAAGTTGGTGATCACGCAGTATCAACGACTAGGTATTTTAAACTACAACAATGAGAATGAGATAATAACCAGATAAAACATCTTACGGGAAACTTAATATTAACTTCGTAAGGCATATCTACGATCATGAGACAGCTGACACTTTCTGGTATGCCTGGTTAATTAGACCAATGAGCGAATCGGATCGCGACTGATAAAAATCCATTAGTATAAAAAACTAGACAACCAAATATTGGTTGATGTTTTATTGTCTAGCATTTTATATAACTTCAGTAACTACATTGCAGTTACAATCTCATGTACACTATAGATAATACTCACTTTGCTTAGAATGATTTCGGGGGCAAGATATTCTGGTGTTCCACATAATGTCCATGTTCGTCCTTTGATTTTTTTGGCAAATCCGAAGTCGGTGACCTAATGAAAATAGAAGAAATGTATCTATTGTATATAGGCTCTTGATGTACGGAAAGGTTTACTTCACTTTTTAAATAGCTTGTAAAAAATTGGAGATAGCCTTTAGTGTGTGAATAGGTTGACAAAAAATTACTATTGACTATATTGAAAGAAGTCGGTGTTCGGCGAGTTTATTTGTTTGGCAATAAGGTCAGAATTTTAGGAAAACTAATTATATTTATTGATTGATGTCCTATTTGTTATTGGTAGTGATATAATGGAACATTTTACATTAAATCAAAATATGAACGTTAAATTGCTCAGTGGGTCATTTAAAATGAATAACTCGGTATATTGATGACATTGTTTATTACTAATTGAAGTCAATGTAAGAACTGAGAATTCTAGTTTGAAGTTTTTTAAACAGTGTGCAGCCACCAATTAACAACGAATGGAATTCAAGATCGTCAATCATCAATGAGAAACAAAATTACTCAGGCAACTGTTTCAAATTCACTTATATTTTCAACTTTAAACACATTATGATAGAATGTCATCTTCATTCAATGTCATGAAGAAATTATTGTTTCATGTAGACTCTGTTGTCTACTCAAGTCACATTTTCTTCTTAAAATGTCGTAAAAATATATTTTGAAGTCTTTAGTGAACATATGGTTATTATTTATTTAACTAGAGATCAAGTTGTGTTGTGTGCTGCTGATGTCGAAAGTGAAATGCCTGGTGGCAGACGGTTACGAAGATCAAAGAAAAGAGAACGAGAATAAAGAATGATTGGTTTGGAAAGGAAGAAACAATGATATCTGAAGTGATTAATTGACATTTTACAAATGAAGTATTTACTGTATGATTCTCAGATTTTACTAATGCGTTCTGTAATCTTATATTCAAATACATTTGTTTGTCCCCATTTGGGTTCTTGTTCACTACAAAGTGCTGAAAAAGACTAAACTATTGAAGAATAGCTCACTGTTTGTAAAAAGTAACAATGATATCTAAATCATTATATCGGGCAGATTGATACATATATATATAGTTTGAAAATTATCTAATACATTTAAACGGATAATCTTAATTAGATTAGATATATCGAAGGAATGAACTGATTCTATCATGTTTCTTTGTCATTCAGATCTCTTTAGGCTGATAAAAAAAACACACAGTATGTTTATATCAGGATAAACTAATTTATCAGTGCACCTGGTATGTAAATAGTCAAAACATCCAACAACATCTTTGTCTTATAACATTTAAACTAATGTCTATATACAGAATTAAATGTATTTTCTAATGGTTAATAATAGATATAAGAAAAGGTACCAGGTCCTTTTTTTTAAGGGAAAAGAAGTTAAATCAACCAAATATATTTGGCTAAATGTACATATTAATCAGGGTAACATTGCTTGATGTAGATTAGCTTATCAAAGTACATTTATGGAAGGTGACTTCAATTTTACCTTGAAAATACAAAGATATTTCCGTCTGAAAAATACATGAACTTGATTATATGACTATATGAGAACCCACTAACCCAGAATGATTTTTTTTTCTAAAATGGATACAGAAAAAATTGAGGAAGGAACAGTGAGCGTAACTGGTAAAAATGTTAAAATCGACTCTTTATTAGCATTTCAGTGAAATATTTTTTGTTATGCCGAAGGTTCAGTCAACGGTTCTGATAAAGAGGTATTGAGAATGTATTTAGTACCTACTGAGAACAAAGGTAACTTGGGATTATTATGTAACATGTAAAATGTAACATTTTTAATAGTTCAAAGAATCACAATTTATTGATGTGACTAATTTGAGAATATCATACCTACTATATCCAAACACATCTTTAAGATGGGATTTGAACAAAGATCTGTTGCTTTAAATATGGGATAAATATCTGATCTTTTCCGTTGAAAAATTAAATATAATCTCTTTCTACTACTTTAGTATATGTTACGAGGTGATCTTAAAGGGAAGTTCCGTTCAATAAATGATATTTTATTAGTACTTTTCATCTAAGACTGATAATTTCAAAGGTAAATCACAGAAATTAAAAAAACCCATTTGAATGCTAGTTTTTATCAGAACGTCGTGAAGTACTGGAATCTATACTGAAGCATGTACTGTCAATATCTTCCTCTGATATATTAGAGCCTACGTTGTATCTTCAATGTACTACAAACTGCAGAGGTTTTCATGGGTCTTCTAACCTTATAGAATTGATAATATTTGGCTTGTCGATTCATTTATTAAAAATGTAGACATTTAACCAATACTTCAAATATTGAAATATTTGAGCATGTTTGTACATTGGACCTAAATAAAAGTCAAACTAATCAATTTTAACTAGTTCTATTGTCTAATCATGCAACTTACTTTTAAATAACCATCACTAGCAATCAATAAATTCTCAGGTTTCAAATCCCTGTAGATTAAATCAAAAGAATGTAGATATTCAAATGCCAGTACAACTTGACTTGCATAGAAACGTGAATCTTCTTCACTAAAATATAAACAGAAATTGACAAGATCAATTAATTAGTATATTTAAAAAATTCTTTCATAAAAAGAAACTGAACGTATTGTTTGAAGCACTGTTAAAACAATCTCAAGTCCCAGAGTGAACATCAATTCTGAGATGCAGGTACATCCAGCCGACAAGTCCCAAATAGGACGAAACACGCGTCAAACTGGATTCCACTGCTAGCCACTATCCGTCTTTGCTTATAAAGCTTGTGAATTAAGGAATTATCTAGGCAATACGCACAGTATGCACGTATGCCGATTAGAGACTGACCAGTTGCTGTCCTAAACATCAATGGGAAGATTCAAACAAACAATACTAAGTAAATTTAATCTCTCTAATTGAAACATAGAATTTTATTGGCTTAAACATATTCGCAGTTATACATATCTGATAAGGAGAAAAACACACTTTTTTATAAGTTGGTATCATTAGGTGATGGAGGTAAACTTTTTAATTAAAGTATCAGGTCCTTTGGGGGTATGAAATATGTCACCTAGGATGACATTTGCATTTCTAAATTTTTACCAATCGTCTCTAACTACTTAACAGTCTACTCCTAAGCAAATTACTACTTAATCAGATTATCTACTGTGATTATAGTTAGGGGATAAATTCATGCATATAAAGTTGATTATTAAGATTGACGATTTAGTTGAAGATATGAGGTTTAATTAAGTTTATACTTTGAATAGTTTTGTCGATACAGAAATGTTGCAGTTTTGTTAGAATAAGTCGTTTAAACAAAGTAAAGGCTTAGTCGTGTTGAAATCAGAGTATGACATGTTCAGGAATTCCTCTGCAATTAAATTGAAATATTAGGCCTATGTAGCTTTGTCTGCTTTACTGATTGTTCATCTCTAATGCTAATTAGTTTTAAATTTATCTGTCTCCTCTTAACGAAATGAACATGTTAGATTTACATGTTTTACTAATGTAGATAAAATAAGTCATTACTCTTATATAATATATTTATTTGCACTAAATCAAATTACTAATCAATGTTTATAATATTTACTTTTGTTGTTTATCTTTTTAAAGAAATATATAATTATTTAATAGTTGTGTTCATGACTCAGTCGAAGCTACACCACCATGGAAAATCTGGGAGCATTGGACGGCCGTTTCGTTCCAGTATGGAACTCCTCATCAGTGCGCATCCACGGTCCCTCTCCTTGCTGTTGAGGAGTCCCACAATAGGACGAAACGGCCGTCTAGTGCTTCCAGGTTTTCCTTGGTGGTCTAGCTTCAATTGACTCATGAAATCAACTACTAAATTACTATAATATCCACATAACCCCTTTCTGAAAATCTATAATAATAAAGTTTGTCTAAGATGATAATATCAGCTGATGTTAGCTAGTAATTTCAATTATCAACAGTTAGTCGCTTATTTGATGACAGTTTTGAAGCGAATTGATTTATCGACTAGTGAAGTATAAGACTTAAGGACTCATAGGCAACACGTAAATATGGTTCCTATAGCAGTCCAAAACAGTGAATTTATTGTTTGAAATAAGTGAATTAACTTAGGATCACTGATTTGAAATTTTATGGTTTACTTTTCTAAGTTCAATCAGTTTACGAAAAATCACACTCTATTACTTAAGCGATTCCAGATTTATTAGTTACAGCATCTCACACTCACAGTCACTTTTGGTTTCATCTTGTTTAATTGTTATTTTCTATTTTATGGTAAGATACGGTATGATTTGCTTGTATATAGACTGTGTATGTATGAAATACATGATTTATACAATGGAGGCGGAGATTGCGTACTGAATTCGACGAGCAGGTCAAGGTAAGAATAACTAATAAGGACTCAGAGTAGGCTATAGGCAGCTCGCACCGGTTAATGCATCATTGGTTCGGCACCGGGCCATGGTCATATAAGTCGATATTTTAATTGACGTTTTGGTCATGTGATAATAGACAGGGCCATAAAGAATATAATAGATAGGTATCTGACTTTCGATAAAAATGGTTATTCTTCAATAGCCACGATTTTTCACTAGCAAGTTAGAAGTCCTCTTCGAAGTCAGTAAACGGTCAGATTATGATCATTAATTAATCCAAGAAATTACGGAGTTCGGTTCAGTTTGATGACAGATTTTTCTTGGATTGATTATAGTACTATATCGCTACTATATTTGAACGAGAAAATTCAATTATTACATTTGCCTACAGATAAAAACCAAATGGTTCTTCTGAAGGAATTGTACTCAACCACTAGTTAGATCTTGGAAGTATACTTAATCTAAGCCCCAGATTAAAATGAAAAAGCTATTCAATGCCCTCTACTTTTTAATGGTGCTACGTCCGATACCGGTGCATGATAAAAAATAACTTCAAAACAAATCAATCCTCACAAACCCCTTACATTGGTTCATATTTCTTGTCAGTCAGTCAGTCAGCTACAACGTAGGACCAGGAACACATATACATAGGTCCAATTTGTCATACTGCGTTAGCACAACAAGATGAACACCGGATTCATAGAAGCAGTTAGTTTAGTGGTGGTAATATATAAAAAAAGGTTGTATATAAGGATACTGAGTGAAATCATGACCGACTTAATGTATTTATGAACGAACTCTTACGATCTATATTTGAAACATAATCATCAGGAGTTAAAAGGGAAAAACGTGATATGCCAATCATATTATTATTCAATCGTTAATTAATGGATAACAAATTTTGTTCATATTTACATATATATTGATTGTATATTTTTGAATGCTTTTACCTTAATAATAATAATAATAACAATCCTGAATTCCAATTAGTACTAACTGGAAAGGCTACTGATAGAAAGGAAACAAAATATGGATATTAAACCGTAAGCCAATATGTCTATCTATCTAAGAATTCATTTATTGGATATTTTGTCGAAATCAACTGATTTCATAATACTAATTAAATCAGTAGCGATTATTTGAAGAACTGAACATACCCTAATTCAATTTGTAGACTTTTGTTTTTAAGACTGTCACAAAGGAAAATAATGGAATGTACTGAACTCGTCTTGAAATTAGTTAGCAACTAGTAATAACAATTATCATGCTTTTTTTTTTAAAGTACTTTGCATACTAACATGACTGTGTTGAGTCGCAATACCGACGAATCCACACTTTTAACTTGAACTATATACAAATGAAAAAAGTTGTTATGTTTCAAAAACTTTATTAATCTTACCTGAATTTTCCAACTCTTCTTAAATAGGAAAACATTTCACCTCCACTGACAAACTCAAGTACCATATACAGATTTGAATTATCCTTTGATTTAGAATTTCAGCATATATATAAAAAGAATTAAATTTAAACAAAATGTAAATAAGGTTAGGTTGAACTTCAGTTATGATAATCAATCATCAGGATGAAAAAAAGATCAAAAATTATAATTTCTATCTTAAGTTCTTTTATTTTACTTTGTAAGTTTCCAGTAATTTGCATCCACAAACGTGGACCGATCGGGTCTTGGTGCAAAAAAGATTTTAACAAGCTATGAAGCTAGATGAGAAAGTTTTTCGATTTTGTCATATACGGCTATACGTTTCCATTGCCAGTTTTGAGTTAATATTTTACTTTCTAATTGGTTAACTCTTCAGGTCACTGTACTGTATCAGAAATTCTGGAAATCTATTTTAGAGTTAGTCAATATTGAGCATCAAGTTATTACGTAACAAAATGGTTTTGTTGGGGCTAATTTCGGTTTTCTAGATGATGTATTGAGATCGGTGAATTCTGGTTATTTGTTTGTGTGCGATTCGCACTATATCACAAACGCATTAAGTTGAAAATATTCATTATTGCATTTCATCTTAGTTGCTCTGGTTGAATCCTACTAATGATCGTAGAATTGCAGTTGTAATGTGGTCATCACTAGGAAGTAATGGCTGTTCAATAACCTCTTGTTTTTCCAAAGTTCTCCATTTGTTGTATTTCTAAATGAACAGTAACTTTAGATCATACAAGAACATACTGGATCCTAAATAGTTTAGAGAAATAATTACATCTCAATACGAAAACCGATCTGAGTAGTAAGCATGCCTTTATTGGCACTATATCTATCTATCTCTACATATAAGGTTTTTGCGTAAAATTGACTATTTTTAGGTATTTTTAAACTACATTACGAATAGTGCCTAGAATGATCCAATGACGTATGCGGTTTTCGATCTCAGCTTTAACTACACTTCTAACTTAGAAAAAACAGTAGTCTAGATTATGTTCTTTTCAATTTGTCAGTGTTATGTTACATTTTTCGATCTGCACTTTAATCCATGTTGTTTTCAATAACTTTGCCTGAATATATTTTGTGTCAAGGTGAAAATCAGCGGAAAATTGTTGTTTTGAATCAAAAGATTGGAAATCAATAAGTATTTTGTTTGTTACAAACTGAATGAAAAGTAACCAGTATTAGACAAATGAACAATGTCACATCATGAATTGCTAATTATTCCAAAAGGTATATTAGATGACAATGCATAGATATAACAAATGATTTGTTTAGGAGGAGCGTTACTTTTTCGACAAATACTATTAGAAATAAATAATTAAAGAACTAATTATTATCATACTCTTCTTTTCGCACAGATTAGATAGGGAAATTGTTGTAGTGAAACACAGTAAAATCGATATTGACTATTCGTTAATTATTTGAAGGGATGATTGATATCCATAACACATCTATTATCCACCACTTGTCTGGAAAGTTCATGAAACCTGGTAAAAACTCTTCTTCCTATCCTTTTAATATATGCTGCTTCCTCAGGTACACCGAAATCCATATATAAACTGGAAATCACGTCGGAGATGTACCGATCTACCTTTGAATTATTTAAAGAACATTCAGTGTTGTATAGCAAAATCAACTTAGCAACAGGTGAGTTTTTCCTATCACTCGTTCTTTCAGTATTGTTGAAAGACTGTGAAATATAGGGGTTTTGCTTTCCGAAAAAATTCTACCAGGTTTCTTGAACAGATTTCTGGGAACCTAACCTTGAAAATCAGTAGTCTTTACAAGTTCAGTTGGAAGATACCTGATAAATGGTAAACATAAAGTAGATATCAGTATTTCATTCAAATAATTAACAAATAACCAACATTAATTCTAGGTTGGTTTGTTAAGACATCTGCTATCAAACGTTTCTGTTCTGCTATATATGAACGGAAGAAGAGCATGCATTTCCTCTCCCTACAATAACGACTATGGTTGAGATCGAATAACCTTCTTTATAAAACTTTTATCTCTTTTAATCCCTTTTTATCTCTTACATTTTTTTTATCATTGCCAACATCTTCATTTCATTTTGGTTTTAATTTATGCGGAGTAATTATGTAGTTATTAACTATTCTCATTCTGACAACACATTCATTATTTCTTAAAGATGATTAATAATAACTATCACATTACTCCCTGTATTCTGTAATATTATTTCCTTCAGCACATAAATAAGTACCAACCCTAGCTATGTTTATACATTTCGTGTCCTGTTCTTTTTATCATAACTTTTGATCCCGTACCCAACATCCATTTACCACCAAAATGTTCACCTTACTCAGTGTTCTCATGTAAACAAATGTTATGTTGAAGTTTAAATTCATTCAGTATTGTTTGTTAGAATCTTCCCATCGATTTGTTAGGACTGCTATCAGGACTCAGTGGTCGAGTGGATAACGCGATGTCGTTTGAAACGAGGGTACTGGGTTCGAGTCCCAGGGTGAACATCAATACTGAGGTGCAGGTACATTCAGCTGACGAGTCCCAAATAGGACGAAACGCGCGTCAAACTGGATTCCACTGCTAGCCACTATCCATCTCTGCTTACCATGCTTGTGAATTAAGGCTATATCGAGGCAATACGCACAATATGCACATATGCCAATTAGAGACTGACCAGTTGCAGTCCTAACAAATCGATGGGAAGATTCAAATGTTATGTTGTTTGACTTTAATTGTTCTCTAATTTTACCGATCAGATAACAAATACGATCGTAAATTTTATTGACTCAACGATGAACATGTAGCCAAATACACCCAGATCACTTTTTATTAGTGTGTTAGTCTCGTTCGTCTGAGATAAAAGTTACGTTTTTATTAAAAGCTAAATGAAAATAATTAAAAAAAACGGTTCGATATCTGTGTATCTTGTTCTACTGTTATTAAAAGTATTGTGAAAATTAATACAAAGATTTATTTAGTTTTAAGGTGACATTCACTTTAGACAAACGTCAACTAGAACAGAATTCAAAATGATATAAAAACTAAGCAGTCATGACAGTGTCTATTCAGGATTTCACCAAGGTTCAAATCTAATATTATCTGATTTTAGCTATAAAAATGATCCATTCAACTGGTAAGATTTCAACTTCAATCATTTCATTGTGTAGCCCAATCTGTATCTAATGTCATCAGTCAGAGAACAGTGATCGTTTTTACATATCAAACAAAATTTTGATGATTTTATTCCTTATGGCTAATAACAAATGATGGATGACATTTACTTACTTTAAAACTAAAATCCATACTAACAAGAAAAGGAAAATTGATTGCTTGTAAAATTTTTTTCTCATTCAATGTATGTTCAACTTGTTTGAGTTTGACAACCTGTGACAAATTTCAAAAGAAAAAAAGGAAACAAACAAAATAATGAAGAGTGTAAAACATTCCGGCTATTGATGCTACTTCTTGATGTTGTTGATAATGATAACTTCCGCGACTGTTTACTTTAATTCGATTTTCTAATGTATACAAACTAATGAATGATATAAGTTGCATATATACTATAGGTTAGTTTAAACAGATTTTCAGTCAATACACAGACTAGTAGTTACAATGTAATGATCAGTCAGAGTTATCTATCAATTAAACCATGATCTAGGGGAACGAAACTCTCCACCTGAGTGTTACTGCTAGTTTGAAACTATCTAAAATCCAAAATTTGTTTCTTAACATAAAGAATTGTCAGAAACTCGTTATGACGACTCATTTGATCATTTAACTAATCAGAATAGATGAGGTAACCGAAATAAAAACTTTCTTATGTAATGTAACCTCATATCGAGTACATAACAGAAATCAAATAGAATAACCGACTAACTAATTATGTATATAGAGTAAAATATCGGAATTTTTTTCGTTATATCTCGTCAATTTTGAGGATTGGTTGAAATTGGAAATTAACACCGTTGGCTGCCAGCTCAGTGGTCTATCGGTTAAGTGCTCGCGCCCGAGACTGATAAGTCCTGGAATTAAATCTCGCGAGACGGGATTTATTCATTTATTTAAACACATAAATATTGGTACAAAGCGGCACCAGATACATATGCGCCGCACAAATCTCATTTGATTTGTGCGAGAGCTGTGATACTGTCCAACTGACCAAACCAAATCAGGTGGTTTTCTTGGAGAGCCACACCCGGAGCTTTTGACCTAAAGGCAGTAGATTAACGTCAGGAGATACGTCCCATGATAGCCGGCGACCAACGATTGATTCATACACCATTTGTTCCCTCAGGATACTGGAGCCCATGTTAACTATTGGTTTGGAACCAGGGTTTTCTAACTCCTCTAGATGGACTCGCCATGTCCACAAACCCGGTAAAGGCGTCGGATGTTCGCTTTTCGTCTTCTCAATTTCGTAAACAATACCCCTGGTGTGAGAAGGCAGTGATTAGGACTTTCCTGTCAGAGGCTGTATACGCGTGGCCATGTGAGAGCATTTGGAGAGGGAGAGCGGACTCTCCCCACTCTCGGCCGTACCAGGGCATTCGGGGGCGGAATCGTGTACGCGCACTGCTGAGGAGTCCCACAATAGGACGAAACGGCCGTCCAGTGCTTCCAGGTTTTCCATGGTGGTCTAGCTCATGATCTCAACTATATAATATTTCGTGATTGTTTAAAGTTTATTCAATTGTTGATTGTTTAATTATTAGATAAGAGGATTGATTGAACAACATGTTTTGCTTTTTTTCTATAATAATATGTTCCAGTGCCCGAATCGGTGATATAGGTACATTAAGAATCATCATCATTTGGACACTCTATTCAATGATTGATAATTTCGAAATGTTAGTTTAAATTCATTTTAATGTTTAACAAAACAAAAATTTGATAATCAGTAAAATTGAAACATAAAAGAAAAAAAAGTTTCGTTACTTTTTGTTTTTCTAGAATTTTCATTGCATAATACATCTGTGTCTTTTTATCTTTTACTAACATGACACGACCAAATGATCCTGTACCAAGTGTTTTTATACGATCAAATTGATTCAAGGTTGCATTACTCTGACCAAAGATTGAATATGTGACAAATAGAAGTTAAAATGAAAAAGAAAAGAAGTCGGATCATTTAACAAAATCCATGTATTTAATGTAAAACATGTTTCTCTATGATTTCAAATAAATTTACAAAGACAATAGATAACACTGTATATTCAGTTGAGGATAATTATCATTCATTATTGAAATCTGTTTCTGAATGATGTTGTAAACATCACTTCGTTTACGCGAAATTCGTAAAAGTTATACAGTGATATCAATGACTTGTGAAATGTATGACCACGTCTACAGCATGAATCATTTGTAGTGGTAATTTTTTGGCTTAGGATATTTATTTTAATGTTGATATGAGATTGTAATTATGTTGTAGACATCAAGTGTTGTTGTGCTTTGTAGCTTCGATTGGCACACTGTCTTCATTTTATACTTGTTTACTGCCTATTTTCAAACGTTTTTATTATCAACCATAAATGTATTCATTATATGGATTTGTTGAGTGATTTGTTAACTCACATTGTCTGTTTTCACTTCTTTCCAGATTTTTCTTCGCAAGATTCTCTTCACACTTTTCCAGCAATCACATACCTCAAGGTCCTACTCGAAGTCATCAAAGAGTGAACGTCTCGAAGGGAAAGTATGTTTGTTTATAAACTGAGTGTTATTTGTGATTTCAATAAGATGGCGATTTTTGTGTTTTCACTTAGAGAAACCAAGTTACTTATTAGATTTGAAAGAAAACTCTATTGATTTATTAATTTCTTACAAGTGCTCATTAATGCTGACGTCGTTTGAGTTTCACACAAATTTTTGGGTTAAATAATTGAACGTCACAACCCTACGATTTATTCTATTTGAGGGTTATTAGTTTAATGTTTCTGAGTTATTATTGAGAGCTTCAACAGGAGCAGAAAACAGCTTTTTACTATCCCAGGTCTTAAAATACTTTAGATAAATAGTCAAACGAAAATCAAAACACGAGGGATAACAATTCTGAGATTTTTATAAATTTAAAAGTTTCCACTTTACCTCAGATCATATTCAAAACTGGATTGAATGGTCTCGTTTTAGTATATGAGTTCCTTAAACGTATTCCTAGATGTTTGAACTTTTAACTTCATCATAGCTTTTCCCCTGTGAATAGTAATATTACCTATCGTATTTAAGCGGTCTGGTTATCAATACGATGGAATCTGAAGTGGTGAGTACCAGTTTCGGGGATAGGTTTGAAAACTACCATTAATTCAAAGGATTTTAATTAGGTTGTAATTTTAAATTTGACTTATAAATAGTGTGTAGTTGTAATGCCACTTTAAAAACTAGTGTTTTGAATAAACCCTTAAATGTGACTGACAGAAATCTTATAATCAAATCCAAAAGCTAACGTAGTCTTCAGTGTCAGTTTTATAATAGTCTTGTTGGCTTGATTAGAAAAACGTGGTTTTAACCGAATACCATGTATTACAGTTTCAATCTGCCTGTATTGTATATTAGTAGTTAACTAAATACGTTTTCAAAGATGGATAGCGGCTAGCAGTGGAATCTAAGACGCGCGTTTCGTCTTATGTGGGAATCGTCAGCTGGATGTATCTGCGTCTCAGAGTTGGTGTTCACTCTTGGACTCGGACCCAGTGCCGTTCGCTTCAAACGCCATCACGTTATCCACCCGGCCACTGAGTCCTGATAGCCACTTGCTTGTGCAATGAGGTGAAGTTTAATTTCACTTAGTATCATTTGTTTAAATCTTCCTATTGATGTTTTTGTACTGTAACTGGTCAGTCTCTAATTGGCATATATGCATACTGTGCGTATCCATCTTTGCTTACCATGCTTGTGAATTAGGGCTGTATCGAGACAATACGCTCAGTATGCACATATGCCAATTAGAGACTGACTAGTCACAGTCCAAAAACATCAATGGGAATATTCAAACAAATAATACTAAGTGAAATTAAATACGTTTTCGTTTAGTCAAAATAAGAAAAATAAGCTAATTTATAATCTAATTAAATTTTAGGTGGAATTTTATTCTTTGAGCTGGATGGTTTAGTCAGAAAACAAAACTCCACCTTAATCATCCACCTGATCCACAAATCTTCATCATCTCTAATTTAGTTTGAACGCTGTGGTCAAGGAAACTATCAAATTGAATGTAAACTAATTTTAAAAATGGCGCACAAAATTCCATCCATGGATATGAGTATACTTCAATTAACCGAAAGTTTAATATTAAAAACAAAATAAAAAAACCCATAAACGGAATAGACAGAGAATAAGCTTAGAATTTTATATTTGTTAAATCATCCCCCATTTAAACAAATGAAACAGAATGTCCTTGATATATATTTCATTTATTCAATTTGCATAACTCACTTGTGTTGGGTGTGACCATTTTTGTTCAAATATACGAGATTCTTTTTCAAGATAGTCACCAACTAAAATGAATCAGTAAACGAAAAAGAAAAATAGAAAACAGTGAATAATGTGATAAATTAAAATATATATAAGCAAACAATATTGTTTTTAATTAGATCCTTATCAGCCTTTACTCTAATAAACAGTAATATTTATAAATTCAACTTAGTATTGTTTGTTTGAATCTTCCCATCGATGTGTTTAGGACTGCAACTGGTCAGTCTCTAATTAGCATATGTGCATCATGTGCGTATTGCTTCGATATACCTTAATTCACAAGCATAGTTAGCAGAGATGGATAGTGGCTAGCAATGTAATATTTATATACATTTTCGATATTATGAAACCATTCAAGGTAGTTTATGGGTCAGTGATAACGGTGAGATTGATTACATAAATAAACATAATAATTAAAATGTATGACAGATGTAGTAGTTGTGATGAGACTAACAAAGCGTTAAATTCATGTTTCATAATGGAAAAATAGGTCAATGACTTGAAAATTATAGATGGTGAAATAACATTCATAAAATCTATAAGATAGCGTAATGAGGAGTGTTCGGATAACTGGACAATAAAGCGTAAAAATTCATTTGGTATTGTTGGGTTGAATCTTCCCATTGACGTTTAGCACTGCGATTGATCAGTCTCTTATTGGCCATATGTGTGTACTATGAGTATTGCCTCGATATAGCCTTGATTCACCAGGATTATAAGCAAAGATAGGTAGTGGCTAGCAGTGGAATCCAGGAAGCAATTAATCAGTTTCTGTGTTTATTGGTGGACTATTGTATGTGTGCGTTCAATTTCAGTGAATAGTTCTGTGCTACAACTAATCGTTCTCATGTAGTTTATATGTCAGTTCTTAATGTAAACACCTTAAAAAACTGTGAGGAATTATAACAAACCCTTATATTAAGTAAATATATAGTTTTGTTGGTTTTTATTTTGTATTTTTGTTTATTTAAATTGAGTGAATTACACAGAATGATGAATAATTGAAAAAAGTAATTTTATGCAACGAACACTGTAAATAATAGAATTTAGGTGATTTTTTTCAATAAGCTGAATGGTTTAGTCGTGGAGCTTTCATTGTTCTTTCGAGCAACATCAGCACAAACGTCAGGTGGAAGTGACGTGTTTGAATTTCTCCACACATGAATATCAGCTTGTTCTGTCGACCTTGACCTTGATCGGCTATTGTCGAACTCTAATCTGTCACTGTATATCTCATTATTTTGACTGTATCTCCCTTTGATTTGATTCTTGGTATTATATTTGCACATGATCTTCCTAATTGGTTGATAGATTGGATCAATTTCGATGTGTTTGTTGACTGCTGATTAACTTGAGTGCCAAGCTTCTAAAGATTCCCTGGTGCATTTAGAATTTTGTCTATCCAAGATCTCAACATTTTTCCAGTCGAAAGTGTCTCCAGGGTTGTCCACATGCACTGATATAAGCCAGGATACATCATGAAGTTTTATCGCTAATTGATGTTCATTCAAGCGAAGAAGAAAGGGGGGGTTATCACTTTGCCCGACGTAGTGTTTTACGTAATTGAAACAGTTTATTTTATAGGTGATGTTCGGTTTCTCCTCTTTTGATATTTCATCCTTTGCTTTGCATAAGATTGCTTGAAGTGATTTTGCTAGTTAATGTGCTACACACGTTCTAAACTGATTCAACAATACCATTGTAATTTCTGACATGCCTTTTACACATATTAGGATAGTCCATTTGTTGGTTCCCATATCCGATTCCGTTTTTGTTGATGAGTGGTATTGATATCACTTAATAAATCTGCATCGATAGCCATTGTTTTAAAAGATAGTCACCAGATGCTTTTATTCAGTTTTCTGCGCTGCAATTGTGCTGAAGTGTATTATTGCCCTATTGGATGAAGTTTGTACGCAGTTAGTTTTGTGAATTCTCGGGTTGTTGCTACTGTAACTGAGTATTCGACCAGAGTGGGTCGGCTTTCAATATACTTGAGTCTCCAGTTTTCCTGTGTCGGTTCTGGTGATTAGTACATCTAAGGATGATAATCTGTTGTTCGACTCCTTTTCCGAAGTGAATTTTATATCATCAAAGACATCGTTGACGAAATTTTAGGTGTTTTAATTTATTTTAATATATTAGTCTGTGATAAAATAACCTTCCATAATCTTTATTTAATAAGATTTTTATTTCTAGAATTTACATGAAAAACGATATCCGCTTTAAAGTGTTCACTAAAAGTGATAAATCATACAAAAACGTTAAACCATTGGTTGAATAACGTTGAAAGTTTTTGCATAGCCTTGTAATTTTAACAAAGACACTTTAAAGTTTACATTACAAACAAAAACTGAAAATCACCGAGTCCTATTGCCCTAAATTAAGCACACTCGATGGCAGTATAGGTCCACAGAAGTGTCTGAAACCAAACCCAGGAAGAAAAGACTTTGAGGCTAGCTTGTTAATATCAAACATTGATATATTACAAACTATTAATCATTGAATAAAGAGGTCTAGACCCCTAGCTAAAAGAATCTGATATGCATTCACTTTTAAGTTGGTTGACTGTTGGTATTTAAAATATTAAATTCTGTAGTGTATTGTAACCTAACCGATTGTTTTCTTTTTTTTCTTTGGATGGAGTAATGTAGGGTCATAAATTTTTTAAAATTATCTCAGTATTACTTACAACTTGTAGTTGATATATACCAGTTAAATGTTTTTTTTTGGAGAATGAACAACTGTTCAGTGACCTAAGAGATTTAGTTGTTAAAATTACCATGGAGATTCGAACTGTTCTAATGTGAGACCTAATTTTTATCTTAAATCTGTCACTTTTCAACAATAGTGTGTTTCAACATTTTTCTAAATTAGAAATTCCGAAAATATGATCCACATATATCTTGTTATTTATGTTACTTACTTAATGGTTTATCATCACTTTCATCTAAAAAGTATTATTACATATTACTGTTCCTTAGGTCATATAGTTAAGGATAATGGTGGTATCTAGATGCTCAAAAGCAATTAGATGGATACATTGTTTAAAACTTCGGCTATAATAATTCAGCAACTAAGCGATAGTTTTACTTTTAATTAACTGATAACTAATTGAAGGTTTTCTGTGGAGATCAGGAGTCAATCGAAGCTAAAACATCGTAGAAAACCTGAAAGTACTGGACGGCCCTGATTGACTTCAAGAGGTAATTCCTGGAGTTCTAGTGAGAAGCAGCAATCAGTAGAGTTCAACTATGTCTGTTGGGAGATATAAACTCACTGAAAACATTGGTGAAATGGTTTCTCAACTTTGTGGATTGGTTGAAGTTAGACATTAACACCGTTGGATACCAACCAGCTCAGTGGTCTATTGGTTAAGTGCTCGCGCGTGAAACTGATAGGTCCTGGATTCGAATCTGGTGGTGCGGGATCGTGGATGCGCACAGATGAAAAGTCCCACAATAGGACGAGTTGGCCGTGCAGTGCTTTCAAGTTTTCTACGGTGGTCTAGCTTCAATTGACTCATGATTTAAACTATTTATAACTGATTGGTAGGGGTTTTATTTTCAAAATAATTAATATATAAGTGTTCTCTTCCCTCAATTTTTAACATGAACAATAGAATTTCCCAGAAACTTGGGTCATAATATTTGAATTCAGACATTAACAGAATACCTAGTGAAAACCAATTCATTATCAGTAAATTCTAAATCAAATTAGCCTTTTTTTATTGAATGGTCCTTTATCTATTAAAGACACAGTTAAAATGTTATGATGCATTATATGTTGAAGTAAACAACATTTCTGTCAATCAACCTTAATGATTGTTAAAATCAAAATATGATTTGCCTTTCTTAATTTTTTTAAAAAAGATACGTGAATTATAAACTAGATTAGTGTGTTTTTATTTTATTTTTTTAAGCCGAAAATAAACAAAAAGTGACCTTTGATAATGATGCTAAAAAACAAAATTTAGGCACCATTATCCAGAAGTATGTTGTGGATGTTTCTGTTTATATGTTCAATGATTTTATACAGATCTAATCTAATGGTTTCAGTTTAGTAAATCATGAATGATGACGACGTTTGTAGTATGTTATTATATGAAATTGAACTTAAAGAAACTAATGAAATTCCTCCTGAATAGTTTACATTTAACCAACCTTGTGAACTGATAATATGCCTTGGTCTATCTGTTGAATTAACTCCTACACTAACCAGTAATTCATATTGAGTTAGGCGATCGTTAGGCTTTGGATAATGCATGTTCTATTGTGAAATCAATCAATCATCTAAAGTTGTCTCAAGATGAATGAATATATATGTGGTATTCCTTGAAAATGTTTACCTAAAGTTCTATCATTTGAAATTAGTGATAACTAAAGATAAATGAGTTAAATAAAATGATACTAATATTCAGTAGTTGTATAAATTATATTATGTGCATAATTTTTAGATTTAGCTTACATTTATTTATACACTAAGTTACTAAACAAATTATTTATTACATAATGGGTGATATTCGAATTCAGCTCTTATTCATGTCACAGGTTGTCATTAATGAGAGAAAGAATATCAATTATAGTAAACCTATAAACACTTCTCAATTGAAGTAAATTCTATATAGTTGAAATCATGAATCAATTAAGGTGAGACGACCATGGAAAATCTGGAAGTACTGGACGGCCAACTTGTCCTATCGTGGGACTCCTCAGCAGTGCGCATCCACGGTCCCGCTCCTCAATGCTGAGGAGTCCCACACTGTGACAAAACGACAGTCCAGTGCTTCCAGATTTTCCAAGGTGGTCCAGCTTCAATTAACTGATGATTTCAACTATATAAAATTACTATAATATCCACAAAACACCCTTCTGAAGTCAATTCTATTAGAAAAAGCTTATATTCTGTATAGAATAGAACAAAAGTTTGTTTTCTGGAATTCTTAAAATACCTACGAGATTTCTGTAGTCTTGAAAATAATGCTAATTTACTTCAACTAACATATGATATTAAATTTGACCAA